AATTCGAAATTTTTGAAAAAGTATCAGGAGAACATGAGAATCAAAGAGCTATTCACTGCAATTTAAAAATTCGAAATTTTTGAAAAAGTATCAGGGGAACATGAGAATCAAAGAGCTATTCACTGCAATTTAAAAATTCGAAATTTTTGAAAAAGTATCAGGAGACCATGAGAATCAAAGAGCTATTCACTGCAATTGAAAAATTCTAAAATTTTGAAAAAGTATCAGGGGAACATGAGAATCAAAGAGCTATTCACTGCAATTTAAAAATTCGAAATTTTCGAAAAAGTAGCATTGCGTGTGGCGCCCTCTCTCTCTTGGGGTGAGGTACTACGATGGAGCTGGGGTCACTGAAACCCCCAGAACTGAGCCTCTACTCTAGTCAATCCTCTTTGATTCCCCCCATCCTCATCCGTTCTTTCAGCAGCTTGTGACATTTTTTTCCGTTGCCTTCAGCCCAAGATGTTTACTCGGTTCAGTGAAAAATTCACCGTGGCGCCCGTAATATCAGTGTACAAAAGCGCGATGGGATTATCTGTGGTATACCAATAATCGTCGAAGGTACGTGGTGATAACGATAGAAGAAAGCAAATTGTAATAAAGCCCGAATGGTTGAGAACAGAAAAAAAGAAGTAGCGGGGGGAAAAAAAATTTTTGTAAACGGTCTGGTGAGTTCAGGGACTTCCTATGCCTTGTGTGCGCTCCGTCGTGTTCGCTCAGGCGGGGGACCCCGTGTGTGTTTATAGCCTACAAACCCTGACATAGCAATGGCGTTTCTCTGATCCCCCAGCACTCCCACAACCCCCATTAAAACCACGAAAATCAAATAATACCTCATGAGCCATTGGAAACGTCAACAAAGCCAAGCTCATTGCCACCTGAAAATTCACGCCCAAGTGTTTTACCACGTCGTTTGGGGCATTACCTGTGTACATGTATATTAATATTACAAATGTGTTGGTGGTAGTACGCCCGTGTTACCTCTTCAATTTCCCCCAGAAACCGTGCGGCACGCCATCCACCACTGAAAATCGTGTTCACCGAGTGTCTCGGTAGTGCTTCCAGGCCTGAAAAACTCCACCACTCGGTTTATCCCCCCACCTCGTACCCTCATTAACACTAACGAGCTATTGGCAAAAAATAAATAAATAATAAATATCAATGTACGTGACTGGGGTGTAATTTTTGATTTTGGGGCGGGAGGGAAATATTTGGCAGCTTTTTTTTTACCGCGTGGATGAGCCGGTCGTGTATCGAGGGTTTTTATTGCCTCCTGGGGGATCCACGCCCTTATTCTGTATCCAGTCAATTTTCCCTCCTCCTCGGCACAGAATATTTGGGGAAAATAGCATCAGTGAATTAACGCTTTGACGTATCCTTCCGCTTTCGGTGGTTCTCACCAATTATTTTTTATCCACTACGATTTGTCATGGACGAGTGAATTATTTCGACTTGATGTGGCGGGGTTTGGCCTTCAGAAAGTTCTGTTGATGTTTTGGGGGGCTATTAGCAAAATGAAAAGGAGAAAATTCAGGCTGGAATGAGTAAGCATAACCTGGTGGCACAAGTGTTGGGAGAGTGCATGGGTGCAAAGACCGAGTAATCAAATGCATTTTTACCGAGTGTTTTTTTTTTAACAGTGTGTAATTTTTCCCTTCCTCTGGGCTTTTTTTTTTGTTCTCGGGATGTACTCGGGGTAGAATAATAGAGAGAGGCAGAGTCCTAGTGGGCTGCCATGGATGATGAGGAGCGTCTTGAGGGTGAGGAGGAAATGGAGCTTGACGAGGCTTCCGACGGAGAGGACGATGATGAGGAGGCCATTGGCATACCAGTCTCACCGGCCACCTCCGATCAACTTTTTACTAGTGTTCCAGTTACTCCAGGCAATGGTAAGTTTTCATTTTCATGGTAATTCCATAAATTTCATGTGGATTACAATGATGAGTTTTAATCGCAAGAGGCTCTGATAGTTCACAAAAAAACACTAAATAATATAGTTTTTTATCCAGTTACCCCAGAGGAGCCATTTGATCCTCTGCGTTATCAAAAATTTCCCCTGCCAGGGGGCAAACCACTGAGTATACGTCGGGGCCCGGGCAGACCGAGAAAAGAACGGCCCCCAGGTACTTCTGCTCGTGGATTGGGTCCACGTAGGCCATTTGGTAGGGGCTCAACACGGGGCAAAGCACTGGGTTATGCTCGTGGTGGTATAAGAAGAACAAAGAGTAAGGATGACGATACTCATTCTGAATCACAGAGTCCTCTGAGGCTCGGTGATGATCCCAATGGGGAGGGAGAGTCTTCTGGCATCGACAGATCCATGCCAGCGCCAGAAGAGCCACCCTATCTCCCGGAAAAATGGCCAGGAAAGGTGTGTGCATTGTGTAATCTCGGTGAGCGAAGTCAACTTGGTCAGGGTGAGCTACTACAGCTCACCTACCCCGTTGGCTTCGTCCCCGAGAAGAATGCCAATCGTGAGGAGACAGCCGATCTCCTCATGGATATGTCTTCCACCGGTGACAAGAGTCCACGTGGTGTCGGCCCTGGAGCTGTCACCTGTCGACGACAGAAGAGCCTGGCTAAATGCAGAAATCCTAGTCTCACGAATTACACTGAACCTGTCGAGGAGTTAACTATTGTTGGGTACTCGGAGGAGCCTGATGTTGGATTACTATTTGAAGCTAATGGAATTTATTATGTACATAAATCGTGCGCTATTTGGTCGAGCTGTTGTAAAGATATCATCACAGAGAGCATAAGCCCAGCGATAGTTCATGCATCGTCCCGTCGATGTGCTTATTGTTCTCATTATGGTGCGGCTATTTCCTGCAAAGTAAGGATTTTTTTTTCAAATTATCATACAAACTACTGAAAAATTCAAATTAACATTACATTTTTTATAATCAATGATTTTAATCTCCTCGATTGGTTGATCTCCAGGTGGGCTCGTGCAATCGTTATTTCCACTTTCCGTGCGCAGCAGCCTCCTCGTGTTTTCAGGACACGAAGACCCTCTCGTTATTCTGCAAACAGCACCTCGGTCAAGTGCCTCTTCTTCTCAATGATATAGCCTGTATACAGTGTTACGGGATGGGTGACGTTTCGAATCTTGTCATGTGCACTGTGTGCGGTCAGCATTACCATGGCAGTTGCGTGGGACTGGCTCTGCATCCTGGTGTGAGAGCAGGCTGGCAGTGTGCACCATGCAGAGTATGTCAAGTTTGTCGTCAACCAGAGGAGGTCTCCAAGGTGATGCTCTGCGAGCAGTGCGACAAGGCTTATCATCCGAGTTGCCTTCGTCCAATCGTCACATCAATACCCAAATACGGTTGGAAGTGCAAGTGTTGCAGAGTGTGCACTGACTGTGGCTCAAGAACACCCGGGGCTGGACAGTCCTCTCGCTGGCACTCGCACTTCACTGTCTGCGATTCCTGCTACCAACAGAGAAACAAGGGCTTCTTCTGTCCGATATGTGGAAGAGCATATCGAGCTGCTGCTTTAAGGGAAATGGTCAAGTGCACTAGTTGCAAAAAGTATGTACATGGTACCTGTGATGCTGAGGCTGATCCCCTGACCTATCAACATCGAAAGGAAGCCAAACCAGATTACGAGTACGTCTGCACCCACTGCAAGAGTCAGGCTCTCATCAAACGAAAAGACAACATTGACGAATACTGTGGGGATTCATCTCTCACTGCATCACAAGAGAGTTTATATGGGGATGGAGACTCTTCGGAGTTTGATTGCTCGGTTGACGATCCTCTGTACATTGGCCTGGGTAAGGGGAAGCCCTCCTGTGCCTCGAAGATAGCCAAGAAGAGATTGGGTCTCGCTGGTATCGTGGGTAGGCCCAAAGGGGTGGGCAAATTGGGCTATCAGAAGCGTCAGAAGCTCAACGAGTTTGGTAGAAAGAGGGGCCCAAAGGCGAAGATGAGAGGGATATTTGGAGTGCCAGGTGTTGGCCTCCAGAAACCCCAATCAGATTCATCGAAGGAGGAGGAACCTGGTGTAGAGAATAGACTGGTATTGTGCTCAGCGAAGGACAAATTTGTACTGACTCAAGACATTTGTGTTATGTGTGGGGCAATTGGTACAGATTCTGAGGGCTGTTTGATCGCATGTGCCCAGTGTGGACAGTGCTATCATCCTTACTGTGCTAATGTCAAAGTGACGAAAATCATTCTGCAGAAGGGGTGGAGGTGTTTGGATTGTACTGTTTGTGAGGGCTGTGGTGAGAGACATGACGAGGGACGTCTTATTCTTTGTGATGATTGTGACATTAGTTATCATATTTACTGTATGGATCCACCACTGGACTACGTGCCACATGGCACATGGAAGTGTAAGTGGTGTGCCTTGTGTCAGACTTGTGGCTCAAATGATCCAGGATTTAACAGTAGCTGGCAGAAAAATTATACACAGTGTGGACCGTGTGCATCTCATTCAGCTTGTGCATCGTGTCAGGAGCCTTACAACGAGGGGGATTTAATTATTCAGTGTGTACAGTGCGAGAGATGGTTGCACTGTGGCTGCGATCACATCAAAACTGAGGCCGATGCTGAGAAATGCGCTGAGGAGGGGTACAATTGTGTTTTGTGCAGACCCAGAGATGTACCACCGCCCCATATACTGTCCAATCTACCTAAACCAATTTTGAACAAGTATCCAAGATCACCACCACCAATTGTTCGCAGCCCAGAGCTCTACAAACCGTCGACACAGCAGTATCTTGTCGATGGGGTTTATCTGTCTGAAGCTGGTATGCATCATATCAAATCGTTGACGTTTGAGCAGCAACAAACGAGGAAGAAGAGACGGAAAATGCTACCAGTTATTGATAAGGATGCGGATATTATGGCAACAATTGAATCCGTTGTGGCTGGCAGCAGTTTAGATAATTCTTTGGAGGAAAATGGTAAGCATATTGGGATGGATATTGATGTTAAAAATGAGCCTGATGAGGTGCTCAAGGAGGGTATGGTGTGGACTCATGGGGATCAACCACCACCTGAGGGCTACAGTCTTTACACTACTGAGAATGGAATATCAGTGTTGAGGCGAAAACGACAGAGAAATCTTCAGAAACTCGGCATCGGTGGATTTGTAGTGAGACTCAGGGGGACTAGAAAGGATAAGGAGCACGAGGGTGAGCCTGATAAGCCTCTTGAGGGAACTGCTATGACACTCGGTGATGATAAGCCTAGGAAGAAGGGACAGAGGAAAAAGCAGCAGCCCAAATTGGCTGAGAGCTTTCCACTGTACATGCAGGAGGCCTTCTTCGGGAAGGATCTCATGGACGTCACCAAAGACAGGGATCTCAAGAGTAGCAGTGATTCGGATAGTGAGAGAAATATTTCTGGCAGTGGGGATACCATACAACTGTCACAGGACGAGTTAAAGGCTATTGAACAGGTGAAAAAGAATGCCAAAGAGGATGAGGAGGGGACTAAGATACCTAACGATGCCCTCGTGAAAAGGGAGGAGATTATTGATGATGAGACCAGTGATACTGAGGCACTTGGTGACATTTTACCAATTTCCACCGATCTTCTGGACACTGACGAGCTTGTTAATACAATTATGAATGAGCCTGATGGGGATTTGGCAGTTAAGGCTAGTGAGGCTCTGGATGAGCTTGATGATCAGCCTGGACAGAGCAGGGACGAGCTTACGGATATCCTCAGTCCTCATTTCAATTTGGAATCGATGGTGAGGGATACTGGACTCCCTAATATGGACAGCAAAGATGTCGAGGAAATTTTCAAGGGAGTACTCACTGATGAGTCTCAGGAGTCCCAGGAATCATCGGTCTTTCCTATTCAGGCGCAAACTCCTCGCACTCCTTCCACTACAACTCCACTGGTGTCACCATCACCCCATCCAAACATGCAAACGCCAATTCCACTTGGCAGGCCACAAGTACCTGGATCACTTCCACCTGTTGCCCAATCAAATCTCAATTCACCCATGAGCTTCCCACCACCATCGCCTTATCACTCGGAATACAGCAACAGTCCGCAGTTCAGCCCTGCATTCTCGGAACCACCGAGTCCCTGGATTAATCCTGATGAGGAGGGCTCTGGGGGACCAGTCGTCGCTGCCACTGGCAAACAGGGAAATAATGCCAAAATGTTTCAGGATGAGAAACTTGGAGCTGAGGCTACTATTTCCTCCGTTCTTTATGCTAATATGAATCATCCTGAGTGGAAGGAGGAATATCCATGTGAGTTTTTTTTTTTATTCGTTGTGGAATAATAGATCAGTAGCGGAGAGGTAATGGTAATATTTGTCTCCTCGCCATGATTTTTTTTTTTAATACAGCGTGGCCAGAAAGGTGTAAACAAATTCTTAAAAAGTGGCGGGCTCTACCGAACGAAACAAAAGCCCCATACTTGACACAGGCCCGTGACAATCGAGCTACAGTACGCATGAAAAAGACTCAACAGGTGAGTGGATCCCTCTCTCCACGAATAATCAATAGTAAAATAAATCGAACGATTGTGAAACGAATTGTTCGACGAATTAATCAACGTGACGCGTGCAGCTCCTTAATTATCGGGGTTTTATTTTTCTTGTGCTAACACATGAGTCAAACTAACAGCTCGACATTTGTTTTTTTATTTTTTATTTTTTTTTTCTAAGTTATTTTTTACCACCAGATATTTTATAATTTTTTTGTGTCTTATTGTGTTGCGTCTAGCATTTGATGAGTCACGAGGAGTGTTGGGTACGATAAATGTGTTAGGTACAAGAATTAGCACATTCACTCTAATTTAATAGTCCTGTAGACTCGATAGAGAATTATATGACTGGGGTATCAAACCCAACGCTCTCCGTGAATTTCGTGTGTCCCCTCATTAATACGAGTGTTCGATAGCACTAGAAATGACCCCTGACACAAATTATTGAAGCATCGTTTGAATATCCCGTTGGTAGCCCACTCCTGTATCTTCCTCTCGATATTAGTCACTCCCTCGAGATTAAAAGATCGTAATAATGGAGGATTGAAACGGGGAGGATGAGCTGAACCTCCCCCAAGAAACTCAGAACAAAATGAAAAACAAGCAAACCCATAAACAAAATATCTGCTCCATTCCACTCTTCTCTCCTGCTCTCTTCTATACTGTTCTGTTTTGTTCTGTGTAATATAAAAAACGAAAACAAAAAAATGTGTGTGAACGTGTGCCATCTCCCTGAACCGACAGATACCCAAGGATATACCAAGCACGATCCAAGTAACAGCAACAAGTTCACCGACCATCATGACGAAACCAGTAACAAGCATCACATCGTCCCAAGTAACTCCACTAGTTGGAATGGGTACAAGTCAAAAGCAAATTGGATTGTTGGCCTCAGTGGCCAGTGATAAATCAACGGAGAAGCCCAGCATCCAGGGACAAGTGCAAACAGTCATCAGTGGATTGTCATCAGTTATTGGTGGCGTTGCAACAGGATCACAAAATATAGCGGAGGTGTGTGCGGTGCAGGGACCGCCGCCGAGGCAGCTAACAACAATATCCCCAAGTCCATCCCCAACCTCAAGTACATCCTCATCACCAAGACCAAACTCAGTCAATTCAATGAATTATATTAGCAATTTATCATCACACCAAGATACCAATGGTACTGTCAAAGTAACACAGTCACCAGCCACGATCACAACATCTCTGGTCACCCACACAACGAGTAATAACGTTGCTGGACAATCCACTCAATTAGCAAATGTTCAACAACGGAATTTAACAAATCATATCACTATCAGTACAAGTACCATTGTCAATAATCAAATAGTAACAGTGTCCCAGGGTAATAATACCATGACAGCTGGTGGTACTATCGTTGTGGCTGGTACTGTACGACAATTTACCACGGTAGATCATCAGATTAGAGTGCTAACCCCTTCTGAAATAATGCGCACCCTCCCATCCCTCAGCCAGGAGCACTACGATCCGCCACCCACTGCAATTATTCACACTGTACCTGTACAGACCCCGGCCATGGTGAGCCAACCTCATACCGTTGCCTCTAGTGTCTTGTATTTTTGCAGATTTTTTTTTTTTACCAATACATATTTTCGAATATTATTAGACTTCTCTCATTTGTCAACGATAATTCTACATTTTTTATTTAGACTCAGAGTTCTCGATAGAGGATTTATTCGACAGAAAATTTATCTGTTCTCCTTTTTTTCCATTTTTTTTTCTATTTATTTGGAATGATGTCAAGTCTTTGTCCGAGTTTTATTATCATGTTCCCGGTGGCTGATTCGATATCTGCGACGTAATACGAGGACTGTTTGACTCCCTATGTATGATCGTGATTTTTTTTTCTTTTTTCGGTATTTCGATATTATGTGGCATGTTCATGACCACCCGGTAGCACACTCCGTCCATTGTTCATTATATTCCATTATCCTTGGATCCTGATATCCCATCCCGATACCCTACCCTACCCAAATTACTAATAATATTTTTGCTTTTTATGAGTTTCTCTAATGGGATTGTAACGTCTGCGTCTTTCTTTGTGCCAGTTATTATTGTTTCTGTTGGTTTTTTTTTATCAGTAATGCCTTTTTTACTATTTTTTTTTCGGTGTACACTGTTGGAAATTGTTGGGTTTGTAGTGTGATCTGATATTTTTTTTTACAAACAAGTTGTCCTTCTGTGCCAGGAAAAAATTTCTAACGGTGTATGCACTAATTTTTTAATGGAAATTATTGAATAATTTACTCTTCTTTCCATTGATTAATAAGAAATGAAATAACTCATTACTTTTAAGAGCTTTAATTGTTGCAGGAAGTATATATCGTCGATAATAGATTTTCTCTGCACGTTTTTTATATTTTTGTCATGATTCAAATGCGGATAGTATATGTAGATACAACGTGTTTGAGGAAAGAAATATTTTTATACAATTTTTGTGGTCTCTTCTATTCTAGATGGTGGCTGGATATTTTCTATCGTCTATAATGCACAAAGATATATATTTAATCGTCAAATTTCTCTATTGAATTTATTAATCGATTAATTGTAACATGTATCTTCTGATTAATTTGATGTTATTTGATTTTCTGTGAATGTATCGGTTTTGGTGTATGAGTTTGGCTGGTTGTATAAGATGCCTCGTCGGATATTCTTTAATGTGATTGTTGCGTTCATTACGAATATTCAAAGTAAAATAGCTGATTGGAGATTAATTGTGGACGCAACGATCCAACTTCGATCGATAATATTTATACGTAATTCATGGATTTTTAACAGGAACAGGATAGACTGTCTAATCGAGATCGAACGACCCGAGAGGCTGAACAGGAACGACAGTGGAAGCAATTGCAAGCGTTCAGGCAACAACAGGCACAACTCCAGCAACAAGTTATTCATGAACAACGTGTACACGGTAGTAATTAAATTCCATAAAATTCAAGGAATTCTTAGGATTAAGTTTTGACGATGAAATAATGTTTTCAGCTATGACAAGGGGACACAGGGCAATTAATGACGATGGGTCTCAAATGACTCCTGATACTAATTCTGGACTTACTACACAATTACAAGTATCAACATCACAAGACGGTACCCAACTGGGACCAATGACATCACCCTCTCCAGGCTCTCGAGGCACCTTTGCTACACCTCCGCTGAAAGTAAATCGATTAGCAGCACCTCAGAGTCCACTTCAGAGTCATCCGCGCCTGCCAAATCAGCCCTGCGCCACGATGACACGTCCGGTGGGAACGGTAGTTCGTCCTGGAATGGCCAACACCTTCGCTCAACCGCCCTCACCATTTTCCCCGCAGGCTCCCCAATCACCCCACGATTTTCCCCAGTCACCAGCCTCATCCCAGACCCAAGAGCATTTCCAGAGATTTGACAATCCTGAGGGCTTTAACCAGGGAAATCAGACCCCTCGTCCAATAATTCCAGGTACCCCTACCTACGCCACATCTCCCAGAAATGATGTTTTCTCTCAACCACCTGGTACTCCACGTCCCATTTTCAATCCACCCACACCTCGTACTTCCACTCATGTCTATGCTCCATCTCGTACTCCCGATCCTTATAGCAATCAGCCCCAAACACCCTCACCTGCACCGAGTTATACATCACCGAGGCCTGAGTCCCGACAGGAATCACCAGCTCCTGAGGTCTTCAGTCAACAACCAGAGGTCAATCGACAGCTGAGGGATCTCCTCCAGAGGCAGCAGTTCAGCAAGAAAATCGAGCAGAATCCTGGTAATTGGAGTCAGGAGGTACAGAGTCCTGTTGCAGATGGTGTCCAGCAGCAATTTGAGCAGGGGCATGTGCAAATATCTCAGCATGTTCAACCAGCTCCGAATAATGTCGAGGGAACGTTCAGGCATCCCTTGCCACCGGGTATGCGACCACGAATGCCACTTCAATTGAATGTATTCATCAGGAATTCACAGGGAAATGTCGATGCAAGACTTCAGGGAATTGATCCAAGAACTCGAATGCTGGTGCAACGACCTCAAATACCAGGCCTTCCCCAGCAACACTTCCAGAATCAACAGCTGCAGAATCCTCAGCAAATACTTCAGCAGAGAATGCCAGCCCCACGTAATCCAATGGCTGAGCAGTACGAGATGCTACAGCAGTCTCCACAAGTGCCTCAGCCCCAGCCCCAACTTCAGACCCAGCAACAGCCACCCAGATTTCCAGATTCCAATCAAACGATGCAGAGAATTGTTCGCGCTGGCCAAGACACAAGCCAAAGTGTGAGAATGATGTCACAGCAGAGTATGGCACGTCCACCTCTCATACCATCCGCTGTCAATGATAATCAATCCACGTCAGAGGCCTCAGAGATACCGGACAATGTGACAGCTGAACTCGAGAAGCTCGAACAGGAGGGTGCACCCATGGTAGAGGTCGAGGGCGTCAGTGCAATATTAGGTGACTTGGCTGAAGATGACGACGAGCTTCTCGCTGAAATGGGTGCAGACTTCAATATTCTCGAATATGCAGATCCTGAATTGGACAATATCACTGGTGGAGAAAAGACGAATATCTTAGATATGGATCTGGAGCAGGTGGAGGTCGAGACCAAGGAGGAAAAGTTGAAGAAGGAATCCAAAGTTGAGGAACATAAGACTGAAGAGCTTGGAGCGACAGGTGCTCATGAGATGGGAGATAATGCAACTGTTTCAGGGGCAGTGGAGGCATCCAGTGTGTCCAGTACCCCTGTGGTTCCAGTACCACAAATACCCACCAGTCAGACTCAACCACCTCAGGCACCAGGTCCTCCTATGCTACCACAGAATCATCCACAAGTTGTTGCTGTGCAGCAGCAGATGAATCATCATCTCCAGCAAGCTGCGGCTATGGGGAGGCCCATTCCACCGGGGATGAGACTCACTTCGCTCGATGGGGCGATCGTTGGGGTCGTCACGTCGACGAATACTGTTACTGTTAGCTATCCGTCGACTTTTCCTGGTCATGGGCAGAGGCTGCCACAGCAGCACATGCAATGTTAGTTTATCTATTAATTTATTTGTTGGAAGATGAATTTTTCAACCCCTCGAGACAATTAATAAATGGAATCTATTTTTTTTATCAATTTCTCAGTGCAACAACAAAGATTAGGTATGAGGGTACCTGGTGTTCAGGGAGTTCCAGGCAGAGTGGTATCAGTCAGTCACATGGTTGGCCCTAGAATGCCTCTGGCACCACCACCGCCACCACCACCACCTTATCCAGGCCCTCCACCCCCTTATCCAGGACCCGTACAGGTTAGTACCATTTCATTAAAATACTCACATTGATTTATTGAAAATTCATGCATCGCTTTACGAATTAAGTATTTCAACAGTTTTCATTTAACGTTTCCATTCTACATCTAACTTTGTCGAATTTAATTAATCTCGTTATTAAATGTGAGTTGGCAGCGCGCTTTTAATTGCTAGGTGGAATTAACGCGCTGAATTTAATTGAAATAATTATGAGTTTATTTTCGGTTGTAAGGAATTTTGAGTTGAGTTTTCCGGTGTTGGTATGGAATAATTAATGATTAAAGGGATTTTCAAGTGAGAAAAGAATTGGATTTTTGGATGATTCTTGTTTTTCATACATATTTGAGAAATGTAAAAATGAGAGGAAAATTGTTTTGGCCTGGGTGTTTGCAATGCATTGGTGTTGGTGCATGTCTAGATGGGGCTGTGCCAAGGTGGGCGGGGTATGCCACGAGCACCGGTGCATATCGGTCATCAAATGTCCGCTCCTGGTCCACCGATGGCACCCGTGGTGCATACGGGTTCACCTACGGTCGTGCCACATCCACATCGTAGACCCCTGCTTCTCCAGGTGAGCAAGTCTCGGGGCGTTTACACAATCAACGAATTATCACAGAACTAAAGATGCACATGATTATTTATCAATAAAAATTCTGATAAAGAGCAATGAATAATGAACGTCAGAATAATATTTTTCTCTCAAATGTAACAATTCAGGCATAATTAATTGATTCGGTCCATAAATAATTGCTCTAGATGTTAATAATTGTTTGAAGCATTTAGTGGCTGCAGCAAATATATGTAATCTGCACGATCGTTGTTATTTACAAGTTGTTAATAAAAAGGTTGATACTATTTACGTGAGAGTGGGTATTTGGTACTGACATTAACTGTCAGCAGTCGTGTTCGCAGGAGCAACCGTTGTTACTGGAGGATCTCTTGGAGCAGGAAAAGAGAGAGCAGGAGAAGCAGCAGAAACAACAGCAGGTGGAGGCTGCTGCACCAGGTCCACTGTTGAGTGACGTTGAGTTCGAGAGGCTTCGGGCTGATGTGCTTGGCTCGTCGGCACTGGGATCGCCACCTCAGACCATTGCTGGTCCATCCACTGGGCCAATTATTAGGCCACCTGGAAAATCACGACCACCTTCTACACCGGCTCCTACAGCACAATGGCCTCAGGTGCCTCCTGTTGTCAATTCACCGATCCAATCGCCTCGTCAACCCATTGCTACGCAAACAGCGGCAGAATGTACGAGAATTGAACTTTTCGATTATTTCCACTTATAAATTAATTTTCCATTGAATTATCTCATTTTATTTTATCTATTTTTATTTTAATAGTGAGAATTGCAACATTCAACATTCCTCACTTGCCAGCGCCACCTGCACCGCCAGATGTTATTGCCACAGAGCAAGATCGAATGATTCAGCTGCAGTATGAGCAATGGCTGGTTCACCAGGGTCAAATTCTCAAGCAACAGCAGACGTACTACGAGACAGAAATGTTGAAACTTCGAAAGGTGAAGAAATCCCTGAACAGCAAGAAACGCCAGCTGATAAAAGCGGGAAATGAGCTCACAGAGAGCGATGCCATTGAATTGAAGAGAATCTCAGATGAAGCAGCGGCTCTGCAGAAGTTCCTCGAACCCAGCAGAAAACAATTTCGCCAGCACAATATTTTAGCTCAAGAATATCAAAATAAACAACAGCAACAGAGACAGGTCCAGCCCCAGAACTCAGAACCTTGTTCACCTCTGATGTCACCCTCTCAACACTCGTCTCCAATGCACAGTCCAGCTGGACTGGTGTCCCACAGTCCTGGTCCAGGCTCATCTGGAATGATTCAGCACTCACCAGCGACATCGATGATTCAGCACAGTCCAAATGCCCAGATGTTGCAGCACAGTCCAGGTACACAGCAGCCAACAAATCCTGGGACTATGTCACCTCACAGTATGCAGCCATCACCAAGGATAGGAACTCCACATTCTCAGGGGGAGGAGAGCCCCTTCAGTCCTGGAGCAATGCCATCCCCAGGTATGTGTGGACCGACGACGAGAATGGCATCACCTCAGCATCGAGCTGTTATGAGCAGCAGACTTGCCACGAGTCCTGGAGGTTTTCAAGATCGAGGAAATCAGCAGATAATGAATGAGCAGTCTGTCAGACTGCAGAATATTCACCAGAGATTCGTGAGACCACCAAATATCGGAGAAATGGGACAAAGACCGAGGATGCAGATGCAGGGTGGAATAATCTATAACCAGAGGTCTCCCTTGGGCAGTCCTCAACCCTCCCAGCAACAGCATCAACCGATGATGACTCAGCAGCAACATCAGCAATTGGTGCAACGGCAAATGCAACAGCAGCAGCAGCAGCAGCACGAGAATACAATGAACCAAGAGCAGAATATGATTAATCAGAGGAATATGATGGCCCAACAGAGGCAGATGATGTCACAGAATCAGCAGCAGCAACAACACGTCATGCAGAAGCCTCCGAGCTCCCCGATGGTCTCTCAACCAGCGAATTCACCGAGTCCACAACTGCATCAACAAATGCAGCAGAATTACGGACAGCCTCCGAGCTCACCCATGCCAAGGAGTCCAATGGTGCAGCAGACCATGGGCTCACCAATGCTTCAGCAGCAATTGAGCCAAAATTCGCAGCCACCCAGCCCCATGGGAGGGAGAATCCATCATCCACCAACATCACCAATGGTCTCTCAGTATCAACCGAATCCTCCCAGCCCCATGGCGAGGTCCCATCCATCGACATCTCCGATGCTTCAACATCAATTAAACAATCAACATCACCCACCACCCCCGCCGAGCTCACCGATGCCCAGGAGTCCAATGGTCGCTGGTTCTCCCATGCAGATGCAAAGGAGACAATCCAGTGGCAATAGTCCTGCAATGCCAGACAGACCTCAAAGTGTTGAAAATCCAGGAACACCTAGAACACCTCATACACCTCACACACCTCATTACAATCAACTGAACTCTGGGCACGTTGATCAGCAACAGCAGCAGCTGAATCAAAATCAAATGGAGACTCAATCAGATCACCAAAATCGAGGCGGTGGAAATCCCCACAATCCAATGAATCCCATTCCCTTCAAAAGAAATTTCGGCAGATTTGGCTTCATAAAACTAGGCCTTCGAGGTGGCTCTCCCATGTGGTCCACTAAACCTGAATCCAGCAAAGGGAAAACCGAGCCTAGAATATCAGCGACTGCAGTAACTGATGAAAAACCGAACACATCAGCAGTTCACAGAAAAACTGGAATATCTCAGTCAAAAATAAATAGTCTAGTCTGCGCTGATTACAATGACTTTGACGATGACTCTCATACTCCACCCCAAACCCCTCCAAATCGGTCTGATTCCAAAGTAGTTCAGGGAGTTGTGGCTGAAAAATCGAGTCTGGGGATTGGAAGTCCTAGTGATAAATTGGAGGCTATGCCTGACACTACGGACTACGACGATGATAAAACAATCGTGAATGAAGAGGTCACATTAAGCTCAACGGCGCAAAGGGACAATGACGATATTACTGTGATCGAGGAATTTTCGGAATCAGAGCTTGGTGATGTAGTGCTGGGAGCTCTCGACCCTGAGATGCAGGAGGAGTACGTTCTCTTCGAGCAGGACATGGTAGTCGATCTCTCAGTCGACTCCAATGATTCATTAAGCCATGCTTTAGTTAATAACACCAATCAGAGTCATGACCTCGTGCAGATACTGGAGATTCAACAGGCTCATGACGATCAGGTACTGAGTGATGAGGAGTTAATTCCAACTCAGAATAGAAACAAGAAGGGACTTCGGTTGGATATCGTCAGGACTCTGGGGAGTGGAAAACGTCTGGTAGCTGTCACTGATACTCCTGAATCACCGGATCAGGATGAGATTATCGATCAGTCCCCTGGGACCTCTCCTTTCCTCCACAGCTCAGACCACAATTTCATAGAGCTCGTTGAGGAGTCCGAAGTTGTTATCATCGATCCAAGTACCAAATCCCCTGATGATCACTTGGTTAAGGAAGATTGTGTGGAAGAGGCTGAAAAAATTGATTGCAACTTTGTGGATATTAATCAAAAGGGAAATGACACTATTGAGAGCTCGACACCTGACGGGACCGATAAGAAAAGCCCCAGCTTCAATTTCTGTGAGAAATCGCCTATGAGCTCGATGAATGTCGATCCTGCTGGCAGTTCTGATGATGTTAAAGTCGTTTCTCTCAATGAAATCGTGATTATGTCAGCAACTACTGATATTCCTGAGGAAAATGAGGTTAAAATAGGTGATTGTCAAAAATCATCGGTTTTACCCTCGAAAGTGCCCAATGTCATTGCAGATACAAAAATATATGTAAAGTCGAGTCAATCTTCGCAGGAAACTGCATTACTCAAACTACAGAAAGTGAACTCTGTGGATATTCCTGACGGTCCAGTCGACGCACCAAAAATTGAAGACAAAATTATAGAGTTAAAACCAGAAATCAATCTATCAAAGCCAGTATACCAGGGACGCATCGAGACGGAGACAATAAAAAATTCTGTCCCTGTAAAATCTCCCGCTGTCTCCTTGAAGCCGAAATCATCAACTCTAGAATTATCTCCAAAAGAAAATGAGATCTCATCGCAGAAAGTGTCTGCAGCCCCTGAAAAAATTTCGACAATTACTAAATCGGCGGAGAAACCAGAAGAGTCTACCTCCAAGGCTGAGCCCACTCCAACCCTCACAAATTGCACTCCATCTTCCTCAGAAGTCCTTGAAGAATCCCTAGACGAAAAGAAGACTGATCCTTTGAACACAACCGACGAACTCGAGGACATGCTGGAGAAGATTCACAATCCAGCTGAGAATGCAATAAACGGAGAAAGTAAAAAGGAAAAATCTGTTGTTTCACCGCTCCAGAGGATATCTCCAGTCGTGGACGAGATGTCCCTAGTCAACATTTTGGAGAGCGACACAGATCCCATTATCAACGAAAAGAGTGAAGACAAGAGAGAAGACAAATTAGACTCAAAAATAATAAAATCAGAATCTCTGACTCCCTCAGAGATAAAAACCGAATTAGAATCATCATCAAAAGCCTTCGAGGATTCTGTGCAACAGCCAGAGGAACCGTCCGAATCCCCAGAAGATATCCTGGACATGTTGGATAACATAATTTCAACAAAACCAGAGATGGTAGATACTGATATACTAGAAGAAGACAGATCCAGGAAATCCAGTCTCATTTATCAAATGCCAACTCCTCTGGAGTCCCTCCCCTTGAATATTCTCCAGGACTCATTGATGGATCTGGAAACTCCCGGGGAGAACGAAACACCAGCTGAGAATCCCCCACAGGTCCAGATCCCATCGAAACCTGTGACAGAGATTAGACCCGCAACGAAGAGTCCTCCATCATCTCAACCTCCAACAGCAGTAATAGTCAGCACTGTTGCTCAGCTTCAACGAAGTACGACGACAATTCCTCACCTGTCGCCCTTATCGAAGCCTACGGAGTTGACGTCGAACGTCGCAAATGTATCCCACCAGCTGAGAACATTACTCTCATCTCTCCAAACGAATCACTCTCAAAGTTATACAACAGCAGGACAAGCTACACTGGTCTCGATGGTGTCCTCAGGTGCTGCAGCTGCTAAAGCAAGTATTGTTGTAACAGCCACAGGCACAAATGCTCTCTCCAGCTCATCAGCAACCTTGAACTTCACGAAATCCTCTGACACCACGAGCACCTTCTCAAGTGGATTGAAAGAGCCTCCCAGTGTTGTTCCTATTCTCAACAAAACATCATCATCAGAGCAATTCAACAGGATCTCGAGCAGTGTGGGTGGAGTTCTGGCTAGCTTACCATCACCGACAATTGCCTCAAGACCTGGCACCAATTCTGGAATTTCTATCACGTCAAATGCAATGTTGAATGCTATGCTGTCGAGGACGACGTCGTTAACAAAGCCAACGATTGCTGGTCATCGAGCCAATACCATCACGAGTAATTTATTGAGCTCAGTCCTCCCAACTCCAACCATTCAAAAGTCCCAGAACATGCAGGCAATTCTGCAGGTGAGCTCGGGTGGTGCAATCCCATCGAAGGCACCTCTTAACACCTCGGCAGTTTCGACGTCTGTGCAATCAGCGAAGACAGTGGTTCCTCCAATGATCGCCAACACCATCAATGTGACGACTTCGATACTTCAGTCGACTTTGTCACAGGCACCGACGCTTCTCCATTCGCAATTATCTGGTCAGAGCCAGTACAAAACTGGGCTTTTGCCTATTGATAATAAATCCGGGGAGATTGATAGCCCAGTGGGGACCTCGAAGGACGAAGAGAAAACTCTGGCTGCATCTGTGAGGGCCGATGACGCCAAGGCCATCAATGCACACAGAATGGAAGAATCTCAAAATGTTCTCCTCAAACAACTTTTGCAGAATACTGCGTGTGCAACGACAGCGCCACCCTCGTCGACATCATCAGCCCCAAGTCTTCCCATTGTACCATCATTGGAGGCTCAATTGGCTCGACCAACACCCACTCCACCATCCTCTCTGATTCCACCTCTGCTGAATAAAATTCCAAGTACGAAAACGGTCACTAAAGTGCTCACCAGAGAGACGTCTTTTGTGTCTCACATTCCTATTGTGAAGAGTCAGAGTCCTCCCACGAAGGAAGACCCTCCAAAACCATCAACTCCAGTCTCTTCAGGGTCTGTTCCACCCCTGCAAGTGGTCCAGCCTGTGCAAACCATCCAGCGGTCTATAGAGAGTGTCCCGAAGGTTCAGTCAAAAGTGCCATCACCAGTGGTAACTCAACCAATTGTTACAGTGGCAAATAAACCAATTCCACAGAAAATAGAATCACCACCGCAGTCGGAGGTGCCAACACCTGTTAGCACCCCGCCAGTACCCCCGAAGACACCGACATCAGAATCAATGGCTCCAGCTCAGCAGATCAGGGTTACCAATGTGCCAACGACTTTCACGAGACTCGTACCAACCAGCAAACCAGTTCAACCCCCTCCAGCCCAGAAAATAATGCCTCAAAATCCACAATTATCTAATCACATTCAGACTCCACCACAACCATCAACGCCTGTGTCAATAACTCCTCCACAGACACCTCAACCACAGCCACAGCTGCAAGGACTACAGCAAAAACCACAAATTCAAATGCAACACCAATTGCCCCAGCAACTGCAAACACCACGACCCCAAGTAGTTAATACTCTACAACCATCAGTGCCTCAGACGATGCCCATGAAGATTGGTCATCAAGCTCACCTCCAACAGGGTGCAATTGCGCAACACACAGTGCCTTTAGTTGAAGTTAAAAAGGAAATTCTCGATGAAGTGCTGTCTGGCAGTACACCAGGACACAATTCTGATACCAAAGATTTTCTAACTGCCAAAGAGGAGATTATGGATGGTACAATTGACGATAAAAATGATCTTAAAAAATTGAAGAGGCGACAGTATCAGCAGAAACGAAGACAGAGTCAAGGGAAAGATGCGTCTGCTCAGCCTCAGAAAAAGAGGTCGCGAAAGGTCTCGAGATTGGACGAGGATTACGACACATTTATAGATAATTTGATGGTTCAGCTGCGTCAGCTACCCCAGATGACTGTGCTGGAGCCTCTTCTGGGGAGAAACTACGGTGTCTGTCCTATTTTCGGATCTGGAGATCTCTCGAAAATAGGAAATCAGAGGGACTACAATACGAGAACTGGAGACTGCAGTGGAGTTTATGGAGTGGCTAGACTCCTGGGTGTCTCGGATCACTACAACACTCATCCTTTTGGAGAGCAAGAACCCTCGACTCCACAGCAACCAGCGTCAACCCAACGTGGATTTTACGATCAAGAATTTCCGCCACTGAAGCTAGATGATGCCCTTGACAAAAAGGAAAATCTCCTGATGACGAGAGACGTGGATACCCCAGACACAATCGTCAGCTCGTCTTCCCCAGAATGCGTTATTCCGGAGTTTGTCAATAGATTCCCGGGACTGAGACTAATTGAGGAGGAGTCTGATGAGGAATCTGACTGGCTGAAGAGGGTCTCCCCAGTGATTCCTCTCGTGTCACCCATTCCAATTCGCCTCAAACCAGCGCATATCAAGGACAACTCCAAACAGGATAAAGAGAATCTGGGAACGAGACTAGGCAAGTCTTCACCTGTTGCTCTACGTGAGAATGGCAACGTTACAGTGACATTGACACTCAACAGTCAAGCAGCTGATGACATAATGGGGGTCTTGAAGGACCTCGCAAATATCCTCAACATTTCACCACCCAATGGCTATCAAATAGTCGAGAGAACAACAACTCCACCCTCACAAAGACTCGGGCTTTATCGAACCAAGGGAAAAGATGGAAAAGAGGGAGCACCCATTGACTTTCAGAGCATCCTCAATGGAGCTGCTAAATTCTGTCGTCATTGTGATGTTGTTATCTTTCACAGTCTCATTCGTACGAAGGTATCCGACCTTCCATTCTTGACGAAAGAGGAAGCTGAATCTGGGGATGAACTCTGCTTCTGCTCAGCCGCATGCTACTATCAATTCGCTCGAATGCACCGAACACCAACCACTCCAGGAAAAGCAGCCACAATTGTCGATCATTTGTGCTCGATATCAGAAGTGAAACTTCTCAATAATACCCTGAAGAAAAAAATAGAGAAACGTTCTCTCGAGAAACAACAGCTTGGATTGGAAACTCTTGACGTTGATCAGATTGAGATTAATACAGATATTAAAATAAAAACCGAAAAGGATGATTCTGAGACTATGATGATGGGTGAGGAGCTCATGCAGCTCGAGGAGAGGAGACCCAGGAAGCATCCAGCTTCTGAGGATCTTTCCGTCGATCTAGCCGATCCTCAACCACCAGCTAAACTCTGGAGAGGACTGAAGTACAAATTGTGGACGATGGGAGGAATTCAACCAGCGACCAAATACAAAAAACCAACGGACAGAGAGATCACGGAGATGCTCTTCAGAATGGGTGTAACTGTCTCTCCAGTAAAGAATGATGACAGTCGTCGGTGTATGTTTTGTCAAAATCAGGGTGATGGGGCTGCTGATGGACCCGCTCGTCTCCTGAATTTCGACGTCGACAAGTGGGTGCATCTGAACTGCGCCCTGTGGTCCGAGGATGTATATGAGACGGTGAATGGCGCCCTCATGAACCTGGACATTGCTCTTCAACACAGTCTAGTTCTGAATTGCGTGGTGTGTGAGAAACCCGGGGCGACTGTTAAGTGCTTCAAGATCAGATGCACCAATGTCTATCATCTTGGATGTGCGGTGAAGGATGGATGTGTCTTCTACAAGAACAAGAGTACCTTCTGCTCCCAGCATGCACAGAAAAATGACAAGGACAATGAATTGACAACGCTGTCGGTTTACAGGAGGGTTTACGTCAACAGGGATGAGAATCGCCAGGTGGCAGCTGTCATGCATCACTCTGATCACAACCATCTGCTCAGAGTAGGGAGTCTCATTTTTCTGAGTGTAGGACAACTTCTGCCCCATCAACTAGCCAATTTCCATACTGTTAATTATATTTATCCAGTCGGGTACAAAATCGTGAGATTTTACTGGAGCATGAGGAGACCCAACAAACGCTGCAGATATGTTTGCTCCATCCACGATGTTTCTGGGAGGCCAGAGTTCAGAGTTCTCGTCCAAGAGCCAGCCCAGGAGGATGTGGAACTGAGGGATGCATCGCCCAGGGCTGTGTGGAGCAGAATACTGCAGCCTCTGGCTGACATGAGAAAGAGTACTAATAGTGTCCAGTTGTTCCCGAGGTATGTGTCAGGGGAGGATTTGTTTGGTTTGACTGAGCCTGCTATCGTCAGGGTCCTGGAGAGTCTCCCTGGGATCGAGACGTTGACGGATTACAGGCCCAAGTATGGAAGAAATCCTCTTCTGGAACTGCCACTTGCCATCAATCCAACTGGAAGCGCCAGGACTGAGGGAAGGCTGAGAAATCAACTCCCTTGGAAGAGGCCACACACCCAGAGGACTGGCTCATCTGCCAGGGCAACTTATGCACCAGCTGCTGCTGTCGCTGGAGAAGTGGCTTGTCCCTATTCCAAGCAATTTGTCCACTCCAAGAGCTCTCAGTATAAGAAGATGAAACAGGACTGGAGGAATAATGTTTATCTGGCAAGATCAAAAATTCAGGGGCTGGGGCTCTACGCCGCGAGGGACCTCGAAAAACATCAGATGGTCATCGAATATATTGGAGAGATCATCAGGACTGAACTTGCAGAGACCAGGGAGAAACAGTATGAAGCTAGGGTAAGTTATTCATTTATTTTATTGATTATTATTTTCGGGAAGTGATAATTTAATTATTGTTATTTTTTTCTGGCACTTAGAATCGAGGAATTTACATGTTTCGACTTGACGAAGAACGAGTGGTAGATGCAACGCTGTGCGGTGGCCTGGCGCGTTACATAAATCACTCTTGCAATCCCAATTGTGTCGCCGAGATCGTTGAAGTTGAGCGTGATCTCAGAATCATTATTTTTGCTAAAAGGAGAATCTCACGCGGTGAAGAGGTAATACATATTTTCAAAAAAATTCCCATAAGTGTTTTGGTATTGGTAATTTCAGGGATAATTGATTGATTTATTTTTCAGCTGGCATATGACTACAAATTTGACATTGAAGATGACCAGCATAAGATAGCATGCGCCTGTGGTGCACCTAACTGCCGCAAGTGGATGAACTAAATTCGAGCTCAATCCACAAAATACTGTTGTTATTGTTGCTAAGTTTTTTCGGTAGGTTTTACAATGGAGATGATTGAAAAACAAATTATATATATATATTATATATAAAAATGAATAGACCTATTATTTAATTTGTAAAGTGCCATTGCAGTTTGACAAAATGATCGATTATAGTGAAGTTGGTGCTATGCCATCACCACATTCCTCCAAAGTTGTACAATATTAGCTTTTACATTAAAAAAAAAAAACGAGAGGTGAGGATCGCATTTTGATGAGAGAAGAGCGAGTGGAAAGCGAGTCCCCATGAACTTGTAAATTTTGAAGAAGTCATTAATGAAGATGGATGTGTGGGGTTCTCGGACGCGGGGGACTAATGGTGAATGAGAGGGGATAACTCTGTAATTGTGAGATGTGACACGTTGTAATATAGAAAATGATTAATTGTATTGTCTGTAAATAGGTAGCAGTCCAATATTATTTTCAATCACCAGAAATGAAATGAATAATTAATTGAAGAAGCAACAAATTATGTAAAATAACAGGTACCTAATGTAAAATTATATACAATTATAACTATTTGATTATTCAATAATAAATCGATATAAAAATTATGCTCTGGTTATTGATATTCGTATTCGTAAATGATAGATGATAAATTTTAATGTCCTTGAATAAAAAAAGCATGGATTGGAAAGTGATGGGTGGTGACCCGAAGGATGCCGTCTCGAACAAACATCCCGAAACCGTCGAATAAATATTTTCCTTTCGTTATAGTATCGAATTAGTGAAATCCATTTTTTTCAAGTTCACTCTACCAAAGAATATACATGCCTTACGAGAAGGAACTGAATTCAACCAATTTCTACTATCTGTCGGAGATGAAACATTGAATATGAATTACTACGATATATATCGCACAGATGAGTGTATAGCACCTTCAGATGGGGATATCGCAGAGGATTTATATGAAGAGGAGATTAATGAATAACTATCGAAACATTATTTTAATGATTCTCATAAAACATTGGCAAATGCATTTGAAAACGGGAATTTCATGAACGGCTCGGTCGCGTTAGCGGTATAATTGTGATGCAATATAGTATTTTATTCAGCAAAAAAGAAAAATAAATGAGACTAAAAAATTATAATGACTATATTCCATAATCTTGATTCGATGAATCATACAGAGTAAAGTACAATCTCAACTTATCACGTCATTAAATAGTTTTCATAATAGATCATACGAACATAAGCAACAGGATTTATCGACAATACAAAAATCAATGTTTCATTCTTTAACACAAGTTTTACAAAGATGATTATAAAAATACCAGACATTCAAATAAATTATTCAAATGCTATTCTTTGGCATTCACTCTCGTGGCATTTTGCACAAAGCCTGGAATACTTCGGCCACCTGTCAATTACGAGTTTTAAGTCGTTACAACTAAGTAATAAGTATCAGCAGTTTTTCAAAATTGCTAATTTGTATTTAATCCCTCTGGGAGGGAGAGGAGATTAACTATCTCCAGTGAATAAATAACAGTCAGTAGTTTAGGCTTGCAACCGAGCTATTTAACTAACGAGGGAATATTCAGACATTTGTTGTTGAGATTCGATTGGAGATTACGAGGGCTCAGTGCTGCGCTCCAGGTGATCACGATGCCATCGGGCCGTCCCTGTATGCATGCAACAAATCAATTTCCTTATTACTTGGGATACAATCGTCGTCGAACAACTGGGAGCTTGTTATTGTGATGAACTTCACTCCTCGATATGCCCAAATCCAATGAGAGAGTTTATTAATTTGAATGATATAACATGCAGCATGCAGTGCAGATGAGTGCGAAACTATAATAATAGTTGATGTGACGTGCACATATTTCAGATTGTTATAGTACTTCGTTAATTATTGGGAATACGCACATTAAGAATATTCAGCCTAAATCGTTTGGAGATAATTTAATCTTTATTGCCATTAGCTTCAAATATCCACATATATTTACAGCTTTATACAAGGACTAAATGAATAATCTCTTACGCCTCTCGTATTAGTTTTAATTCCTGTTCAATGGTTTTAATGTGTATATAAAGGTAATTTAAAAATGGGAGACAGGATTTTATGAACTGTGACTGTTAATGATGGACAAGTTAAAATTAATGAGTAAATCAATGGGAATATCGAGAGCATTTTCTCGACTGCTAAAACCCTGGAATGAATTATCGAAAAATACTATTTAATATCTTTAGAGCTGCAAACAACTGCCAAGCTGATCATTTTGATTATGATGTCCTCAATGACACCTTCCCAATATTCATTAATTCAATCAAACGAAAATGATCTACAAACTCCGACTGAATCGAGTTGAACCAGAATTCCAATCTACTCTCACTTTATAATTGTACAAATCTATCTATGGAATTCCCAAATTAGTGGATGTCAACTCTCATTTATATCGCGATGAACCCCTACATTTACGTAATACTGCAACGCATTGTTGTAAACAATTATTACAAAAGGCTACATCACTATATCCTCATAAATCATTAATCCCTCAGTTCCATAATCTCAGATCTCATGACTACATCTCTCTAGAATTAATACTATCACTTTTAAACTCCTAATCGTTATCTCCCAAAGAAAACAATTTTTATAATTTTTATCCAACAAAAATACCTCAAATGCATAAGTTACGTAATTCAAAATATCTAGTTAAAGCTTTCAATGCGTAATTCAACTCCATTCACTTTCTAACGATTTTTCAACGCCAACAATTTAATGAAACAAACGCGAACAAAATTCAAAATGAATTTTATTGATTGAGGAAGAAATATTCCGGAATATTTTCATCGAGATGCTCAGTTTATGCAGTCTTGAGCTGTTAATCATTGATGTTGGAGCTAGAATTATTGATTAAATATATTCTTTGGCCTTTGGAGCATCAATCGTAAATCTTCACTGAGATTACTTCATCGACATTCTTACGTTTCGAATGAAATATCGATGGAAAAACGACTAACTGTTAAATGTAAATCAGAACTATAATAGGAATATGGATGTAACTTGATGTTCAAAAATTCTAATTGACACCTCCATTACGTATCTCGAAACAACAAGAAGATTAAATAATATAGAAAAATAATATTCTACTTATACAAAAGTACAGATTGAAAAATCAGATCCTTAGATGTTAGAGAGGCAATGAAGCAATGGTTACACCTAATTATCGTGAGTTGAAACTATATGTTGCAAATGACAATCGTTTTGTTAATTAAATTATAACCGATGTTATCAGTACGATGAAAGCGAAGAGCCAATTTAACATCCAGTATAAATATTTCAATTAATCAAACAAATTGATAAACCTCATTATCACTGAAATATCACTGGATATTAAAAAAACCTTAAAAATATTTTATTGTAAATAAACCAGAGACCAGCACCATGTCGCATACTTTCAGCTGTTGAAAAACGAGTTGAGCCCTCGTTAATTAATAATTGAGCGCTAATTAATATTACACAGTGAGATGTTCATATTCATAATCAACCCCTTCGACAAGGACTTCAATCAATAAATAAAACAATCGATAAACAAAAATTAATCTATCGACCCCATCCAATCCACCAACTGTTAATAATTAAATAACTTCGGCGTTGTGTTACACACAGGCAGTAGTTCAATGCACTCGAAGACTCACATATCCCTCATTATATCTCTCATTAATTAATTAATTTCATTACCTCCAATTAAAACATTATTTATCCCTTGTGCTTGCAATAATTGATACTGTCTTTATTTTTAATCTCTATCAATGGATTTAAACTGTCGTTTACTTTTAGAATATGGTTTTTTTTTCAATCCTGCCTGTGTATATTAGTAATTATTTAAAATATTAGATGACGCACGCCGAAAAAACACCCATGACGCGTCAACCAATGTCCCCGCCGTAGTCCTGACCATTTAGGAGATTACGGTTGTAAATGGCAGCTCTGTAACTGTACCTATTTGTTGCTGGACGATCTGGTACTGGTGGCGGTACTAGACCAACATCAGGATTCAGTAGTACACCTCCACCTTCGTCAACTTCACCAATGCTGCTCTCCACGAGGGATGACTCAACCTCGGTAAATGCCAGACGAGAACGCAGGAGATAGGCGTACGTTTTGTATCTCTTCAACTAAATTTTTCCAATAAAAAACAACAAGAAAAAAAAATATATACATAATGTATCATAAATAATACTCGAGCTAAATATACACTCGATGAGTTGTTTAAGAAGAAGAAATGATTCTATAGGAATTGTAGTAGCTACAAAGGTCCCACAATTAAAAAAATGTGATTTTCTATGAATAACTCATTCACCTCGTAATGAAGATAGGTATCCTTCTCCTTGTAATTCTGAACAGTGAGAGCCTTGGCTCCACGCTCAGGTGGATGCCTCCGGTGCTCCTCCAGCTCTCCCTCAAGTCTATTCACCCTCTCTTCGTGGTCCCTTAATTGTTCTCTCTACAAAAAAAAAATTGAAAAAATTCTAGATGAAGTAATCAACTAACGACATTAATTACCAGGGAGCTAATTCTAGTTCAACTTAGCGTAGGCATGAGGTCCTAATCAGCGAAAGTAACAGTGAATTGGAAAGGTGAAAAATAAAATAAACTCGTGCTTGGACCGAGTGATGATGCTTACAGGCGTCAATTTGGTGTGACTGCAGGGAAGCAAAGGCCGTTGAAACTTTCGTTGTGAACCTACCGCTCCGGCGAGTGGCTGGCACGAAAAGCTCGCGCATACGAAATTTATCGTGTCAATCCATGACTGGAGCTCCTTCGAATCACTATTGTCCAACAAATTGATGAGTTAATGAATTAATAAATCGAGGAAAACCCTTTCAAGGATTGCCAAAAAAAAGAAAAAAAAATTAATCACCTAGTTTGGAAGAGATACTCGGCCTGATCAGCAGTTTGCAGTCTAAACACGTGCTGCTTCTTCGTGTAATCCGATGCCTTTGTCGCTAATGCATGATGAATTCTTATGGCATTGTGCAGGCTGTCATTACGAAAGCCATGCTCGTCTTTATGCAGATATAATACAAGTTCCCGAAGTGTACAGTAGTACATTTTCCAGCCTCGTTTACCAAACGGAGCTGCAATTAAAGGAACAAAATACTCTCATTCACAATATTCCCCCATTGGAAGGTTACAATTCATTTCGATAAACATGCAAATTGAATGGCATAATAATCCCACAATTGACATAAATAAACGTTAAATATTGGTACAAACTTTTCTTTCCATTAGCGTCGTAACAGCACTTGCGCATGACGTAACCCTTCTTGAATTCAGTAGCACCAGTGACATTTGGCACATCAAGAAATGGATTGCCGGATGCTGATATCGCTGGCCCATCGCCCTGCTGAATCACCTGAGACCCCATGTCCTCCCCCTGCTCATCACTTCAACAGTAAAAAATCCATTTTAAGGAGAATATTTTATTGTATTTCATTGACTGGAATGAATAATTCATACTGAACAGACAGGGCACAGTGGAAATATTGAAATTGATGTGGAATTTTCTCTTCAATACTGAATTAATTTGTGGAAATTATTTTTTATCTATCTGCACAAGAACCACTCGATGTACTTACAGTGCCCACTCGAGGGGATAAGACTTGATAGCTGTGTAGAGTTGTTTGAGTACCTCCCGAGGAAAATTATCACCGTCGTTTAGCTCCGAGAGATTCTCAATGAACTCGGAGCACGACATTTTTCTCCCGATATTCTGCCCATGAAGATCGGTATTGAGGAGCATAATAGCGCACGTCAATGTGTGCACAGCATCTGAAATGTCATTAAAATGAATAAAACCCCCCAGGAGGTATGATAACTGGTGGTCCACTGGGATATCAACCTTGTGAATTAAAGGAGCCGGGATTGCAGTCGATGTATCTCTTTGAAAAATGTACAAGCACACGTTCTCTCTCCTGAGTCTCACCAGTCAGTGAGAATTGGGCGAGAAACTTTCTGAGTGCCACGTCCAGCGTGTCCCCCTCAAAACTGAAATATCTCAGGTATTCCTCAGCAACTGCTCTGGAGAAATCGTTGCTGCAAGTAAAAATAGCATCACTCGAATGATAAACGAATTGAGAGACCGTGGAAATATCCGAGAAGTCATGCAAATAAATTATGCAATAAGCAACAGTGAAATTGTACTTTTTACTGAGATGCCTGGACACGTCTGACTTCTTGAAACCATCGAGCGAGTACAATCTCTTGGCCAATCTCACTGCTGACGGTAGATCAACAGCTTTAGGACTGTAATGGAAGCTATGCAGGCTCTCAATGTCACTCTCCTCGTCAGCTGATTGCGGTGGTGACTGTCCACTCTGTTTCTGTTCATCGCACGAACCAACATGTATTTCTTTTTCATCCTCGTATTCCTTCAACTCCTAACACCAGGGGTACGTACATTAGGAATCAACAGGATTTTACATTCAGATGAGACAGAGAATGGCTGAGATTGAGTGATAAAGTGATAATGAAAATAAAGAGACAATTGCTAAACGCTGTCGAAGAGGAGATGAACTATTCACAAATGTCAGGTGATGGGAGAACTACGTATTAAAAACAACAAAAGGATAATAATAAGGAAATATGTGGTCACAACTCACGCCAGACGATGGTCTCTGGTGTTCACTACCACCGCTGTTACTTCTCCTTCGATTTTTTGGACTGCTGCAACTTCTGCTCTCCTTCTCAGGCCCCTTCACCTGTATCACAATCCTGTGCTCACTCGACTGGCTGTGCTCCGCTCCATAACCAATGCTCTTTTTAGTTTTTCTCCTCTGCGGTGGTTCACTCGCGAGGATCGTCGAGTCACTGTCACTTGGATCACTAACCATCATAATATCACGTGCACTGAGAATATCCATAGTCTCTTCGTCATTGTAATCAGGGCTTGACATGTTGCTGATGGCCTCTGATTGGCTGAGATCGCCGTTAGTCGGATGAATGCTTGGTGTGCCTGCCTGGCAGTTGGGTAAATTTGAATTATTGTTGGATTGGGGAAAAGGATTTCCTGCTGATGGCAGAGGAAATCTGCGTGATCCAGAATTGGATGACATGACTGATGATGAGACTGAGGTTGGAGAGGCTGGGGATAGAGATCGCTGTGGACTTGTACCCTCTGAGCTGCTGGATGACTGGGATGAGCTGCCATTCTGACAGCACGAGGTGCGATCCGATGCTGATGCCGAGGGGGAACTCACTGGTGCATTATACGTCCACACAATTCTCTCACTGGATATACCTATACCCTGTCCACTGTCGGGCCGAGTGTCCAACAGTGTATTGAGACTTGATGTGACATCCTCATCGATATCAATGTCCACAGCACTCATCGATGGATCCTTCTGGAACTGGAGGTGATCCTCGGACCTCGATGTCCTCACGAAACCACTCGAGTAACCAAAATTCGTGACATTTGACTTGGTATCGACTATGCTTGGACACTGGTTAGGATCACGTTTACCTGTACCCACTGGTGAGGTCGTCGCTGAATTAGAACCAGTAGTTTTGTACGAGCGATGGCCCAGCATCTCGTTTGGACTCGTTGGAACTGAGTTGTGATGGTGATGATTGTGATAATTGTGATGACGATGGATGTAATGGTTGTTGTAACGAAGGGAATCAACTTTTTTCTGGTATTTCGGTAGGAAACCAGTGCTCTGTTGAGTTCGAGAGAGATTCAGCATGAGATCTCCTGTCATCATGTATGCCTCGAATCTCGGTGTATTTTTTTGCCTTGTAAATTTGTCGCCTGATAGGGGCTCCCACTGGGCACGTTCCTCCTCTTTGAAACTGTCTGTAACTGGTAAAATCGCCTCAAACTCGGATGAGCCTGAGGCATCGCTGTATGATCCATTACTTCGTGATGCATACTGCGCACCAGTTGGTGCCTGTGGCGAACCAACTGGCAACTCCGGTGATCCACCCTTTCTTCCCTTCACCTTCTTCTTCTTCTCCTCGCTGTTACCAGAGTTTGCTCTTCCATCTACACCCACACGTGGACAACTCACTTCGTCCACAAACTCCTGCCCCGGGGCTAGTAATCGTCTCACGTGTGCTTTTATCGCTGGATCTGCAAATATTTTTCATTCCTCATGCTCCAGCCATGTCTCACAAATTTTTATCACGATTTCCATTGAGATGATTCATTTACACGAGAATTATTGTTTTTGCTCTCATCTAACTAAAAATAAAAATATCTCTCAAAATATTTTCACCAAAATGACCACCAAAAAAACTTTTTGATACTGATAATTGATGGGAACCGCGGACATACGTCCTATCTGAGAGGCTTCACTCCATTGACTCATTCATTCGAAATACTAAGCACCAGTGAAAAGACACACGGGCAAATTCACACACACACACACACTTTCTCGACCACTGGAAATCGAGAGGAATCTTTTACCGTATCCATCCTAGCTGGTTCTCCTTTTTCACTCAGTACCTATCCAAGTGAAACCTCAACCACTGTACTGGATATTTCTGTACACTGATGCTTTGTATAGCTCCATTCAAGTATCGAGGAAGAAACGTCACTGATAAACCCACTCCTCTCGCGGAATTTTATCGCTCATTCCTGATGTCATGAATGGGTGAGAGTATCGTGCCGATTTTATTCTACTATTTCTCGGTATTAAAAAATTTAATGAATAATACTTTTCAATTTTAACACCGACCAAGCCGCCCCACCCCATCAAGAAAAAATAAATCCCCAACACTCCACCAAGTCTTCATCCACTCACACAACATTCAATGGAATTTTTCTCTTGAAAAATGTAAAAAATGGAAAAATTTACTCACCCCTCCGGAGCTTTAGGGTGACTGGATCCGAGGACAATCGTAAACATTTGAGCACTGAAATGAAAAAATTAACGAAACAATTTTTCTGGGAGTTTAATTTCTCTGGGATTTGCACGATTGTGAGGGAATGGGGTTGATATTGTCATTATTATAGGATTTTTTGGTAATGGTTTCTCCAGTGTCTGGAGGATGACGGGTAAATTTGGACTGCACACCCACCGGCGGCAATGAAAGTCAGAGGTACATGGACATTCTCTCTCACTTGCACCAAGTGTGCGTTAGGTCAGGATAAGGTCGATTCATTGCGCCAGCGCAACCCACCCGCACGAGATTATCCGTTGGATTTAAGGCAACCAATGTTGACACTAGTGACGATGGTTATATCAACTTGTAAATTCCCAGTGGACATTTTCCACGAGGAGAACCTTTGGAAAATTCACTTATCCTTCAAACACCATTTTCCTCTCTTCTCGATTCAATTTACCCTTGTCAAGGTTATAATTGATCCATCAATCAATTTATTATTAATCATTCGTTAATTATTCGTGAATTATTATCTCATTGCTTACGTGCACGATTTTCCATCGGATTATCCAAATTTAATTCCATAATCATCCTGTCTGAATGAAATTTTGAAATCTACAATTTTTCATTGTAAAGGTAAATACACAAAATATAAAAATCGAATGAAAGGATGGGGTGAGTCAATACATTATTCACGGAAAAAAGAGGAAAATCGTATCGACGTATATTACCCCGAATGGAGTGAAGTGAATTTCAAAGTTTTCCAATTCTCCAACTTCATCAATAATTCATGCAAACACGATATTTTTTCAATGCACTCCACTAATGCATCACTCATCTCGCAGTTTGAATTACTCAAATTAACCCCGGGGAAAAGTCCAATTAAAGTATTGAACAGGGAAATTTATTTTTAGATATGCGCGGTGAGAATTCTCTTACCTTCCTTGGTGGTGAAACGATTAACGTCGATGTCGTTTACGCCGAGGATTACGTCTCCAGCTTCTACCTGCAAAGGAGAGATCATTACTTTTAATTACTGGGGGTCATAGTTCATGAAAATTATTGAAAGAAAAAAAAAGCGTCGAGGTTCTCAAGATATTATCAAGGATGACGCGACAGTGTCGAGTTGAATGCATATCACGAGGATGCGATTTTTTTTTTAAATTATTTAAATTCCCTCCACTCCATAAAATTCAATGCCCGAAAATTGTGTTTTTTTCATTTTTGCTAACGTATTTCATACGACTAACTACGTAATTTGGGAAAGTTCAGTAATCCACATGTCTCCATAAAATAATCCTTGTAGTTTGTCGGATAAACCGTGGAGAATGTGTCGCAAGTCCACCGAGCCGCAAAATTGAATCGTCACAGAGGCCAGCCGCGACGGTGATGCCACGCGTGATTACGATCCATGACCCTCCACCCCCTCCGCCCCATCCAAAATATAATATCATCCACGAGTGCATGCACATGCATAACACCACCCCCAGAGAACGATAAATTGTACGTTAAAACCCAAGTTATTTCGCATCTACAATGATTTACCTCATCCTCCAGTCGATTGTAAACTACGTAACTGTATCTGTCTGTTTTAGAATTGTTCAAATGTTCAAATGGCCAACAGCAGCATTTGCACAACGAAAAAACCTTCATTTCACTAATTACCAATAATTCAAGTCCCCCAAACCGATCAAGAGCCCTTCCTCATTACCACTTCCCTCTTCTATCAATAAACATAATTTTTTACTATTCAATTAATCAACTCCAATAATTTACTACTGCGTTCTAAGTTCAATCATTTCAATTGAACATGATGAGTGAGCAATCCTGTTCAATTATCAGAGTCGAAAAAAAATATTCCAACAAAAAAAACCAATGTTTAATACTCTTTTCGACGATTAGAGGAGCACTGATTTTTTTTTAGACCTGAGATACCCACTGATCTCCCTCTGGTGTCTCAAAACCCTCACCCAGTCGTTATTTATATCCGTGATATTGACATTGTTCCATTAAAAATGTATATCAACACATCCCGTGCTTTTCAACCGACGAAACTTTGATGTTGCCATTTTGCTCCTAACCCTGGATTTAAGAATGTTCTTTTAATTGAAAATTCGGTTGAGCTTCCTGGGGCCGGTTTGAAACCACTTAAAGGCCTCCAACGTGCTGACAGCTCTGGTGTTATTTTAGTGTGTCAGAACATTGTGAAATCTTGAGGGCCACCCCAAAAAGCGCTTATAGAAGTCACTCGAGTTGATCCCAGTGTTTAGGGGTTGATTAATCCCTCTTATCCCATTTAATAACCATTTTGAATTATCATTTAATCATTTAATTAAATAAAAATTCATCAGAGCGTTGTGTGCTCCTGCAATTATCGTACCGTAACGATTGAATGTCCTTTGTGAAATAGAATGACACCCCCAGATGAATCATTGTCAGTCGATGGCGGGAATTTTTTTATTCATTCCCATCCACGTGCCAGTGTCACGCAAAGTCCCATTGACAAAAGCCCGCAGACGTCACGCAGGTGAACATCAAACGCAACCCGAACAAATTGACGCTTTAAATACCCATTTTGGCCTCTGCGTGTACCACTATTCCAACCAGACAAACACCTTTCCACCATTTCTCCCCTTTTTTTTTTTTATTCCAGTTCTCCTCATTTCTTTTGCTATCCTCATTCGCTCGTTATTTCCATCAGGCCAATAGTCACGCCATGAAAGCACCAGCACGTGGGAGGAAAATCACGAGGCTCTGTAAATAATAGCTTCATTCCTCGTGCTGCTGGAATGAGTTGGCCAATCGATCATTGTTACCCGTTTTTTCATCCCTTATTCTCATTCTCCGTTTACTCAAATTGACCCTCAACCCTGAGCCTCAAAGTCGTAATCCACGTCTAATCAAAATATTCACCTGCCATTCACCTTCGATCAGGTAAAAAATCATGTAGTCAAATTAAATAGCTGAATTGCAAATAAATTAATTGCAGGAATACGCGGTCTACGCTCTTTAATTTTGCAAGAGTATAAAATTCATACGTTCGTGCTTGATTTTCCCCAAAAATTACCCAGCGAAATTCTCTCTGGTTTTTTTTTTGAACCACTGAACCCACTGGCATCTGAATTAGCCGGACGTTGGGGAGTTTGGCGAGCGCGGCTTCCTCGCTCTCTGACTGTCCCTCATTCTTTGTTTCCTTCCCCAATGCATATTCATAACACCAAGAGGCACGTACTGCACACATGGTAAACCCGTATGGATGTGCACACGCGACATAATACCGGAATTAAACTTCAAAACTAATCTCGTTGAGATTCTCCTTCGACCTGCTTTCCATTCAATTTTTCCCAGGGACTGACAAAACGATTTCAACCAAAAATTCATTCACTCTGGAGATGTATATATTATCAGGAGAACCTTATGCCCGAGCTGAGGCAGCTCCAGGGGTCCGAAAAAAAAAATTATTACCACGAGTAGATCATCTTCTTCATAAAATTCAAGGATTCGAATTGTTAATTAAAATGCACATCTCCACCTCAGAATGAAATACCATTAGCATTTCAAGGAATAGTGGTGATTGTCTCTCGATTACGTAAAGAGCTTCTCGCAATTCACTTCGTCTTTTCATCCAAGATTATCTCTGAGAGACACCCTGGCGTCCCGAAGCCCTTGGAAAAAAAAGCCCCAGACAGTAAAATCGATGACTAGTGTCTAGATGGCATCTAACCAATGCCTCGTCACATCCGGTGAATTTTCGTGGTGTTTCGAGTGAGAATTTGGCATATCAGTTCGTCATGTCCCCTGTCACTTAACTCTTGACCTAATAAACACCCTGGGGTCAACAAAGGTGGACAACCCAGGGGTAGTTCAACTGCCAGACACTTCTCTGGTTTCGATCAACCTCTCTCACTTAACATGAAATCATTGGTGACATCCTCTCCCTCGAGCGAAAATTCATTCATCAGATTCATCGGTGATTTACCTCAGATTTCGACACCAGGAGTGGACCGAAATACATCAATGAGGGAAATCTATTCGAGAATCGGTGACTGAATCTCCAGAAATCCAGTGGATGTTACCATTTTTACAGAAAAAAATTAAAGCTACGAGGATATTCATCAAAAGCTCCACTTCTTCAATTGAATTGACTCATCTCCTTTTACCGCTAAATCCTTCGTTATTTTCCTTGAAAAATAAAGACGTAAAAGAAAGTCGCACTCACTAGCTAGTCAAAATTCCCAATTCCAAGACCTATTGCACTCCATTCACCCCTCGCAGCATTCAAATAAAATTACTTTTCTCCTGAAAACTTTCAGCCTGGAATCGAAGTCCTGTTTTACGTCAACTCTCACCCCCAACTGTATCCCCAGGATTTTCCCCAGCAATCGTATTGCTTCCAGAAAAAAGCCTCTCATTTCTTAGCTGAAAATTACACGTACATACATCTTCATATGAGTACTAATGTGAGTTTCGTGTCGTTGAATCGCAGGAGAAAATGTCCACGTGGAATTGTCGCATGACACAATCTAGCTATTTTTTTTCCTCTCATTTTCTCCTTCTATTTCTGTTACACGTGGGATTGGCTTGTAGAAGTTTGAAAAAAAGAGAGAAGGAAAGGTTCCATTCAACCAGGGAGTCTCAACAGCTTTAACTGGAGTAAAACGAGAGACGCAGAATTTTTTTTTTCTGTCGTTCCTTCGTTTTTATTTAGCCGGAATCGTGTGTGGAGGTCTTGTACGTGTGTTAGTCTGCGAAAAGCTCTGAGCTATTCATCACTGTCCCAATAGGAATCTTCACTGCGTATCTGGAACACATTTGCTTTTAGTATTGTCATTCAAATGTTTCCTTTATTTTATCCGATTCTTGAGCTTCCTTTTTTTTTACGCCAGTTTGTGAATAATAAGGAGAGGGGAAATTATTCACGTGCCGCTGAGTTTCATTTTAAACTTTTCGTCGAGCGTTCATGAGGATTCTTGAACTTTCGTGTTGCTCGGGAATTTATTGAGGTTGTTATTGCAGGAGTGGTATAAAATTAAGGAAATTATGGAAATAAACGTTCTTTATGTGGATGGAGAAGTTATTTCGATTTTGAGAGGATTCAGGTTTCCTGGATTAACGAAAAATTCCAGTGGAGAATGTATTACTGTTTATTATAAAAAAATTGTGTGTATCGATTATTGAAAAGTGAAGACCGAATGAGTGGAATCATAAATCCAGAAAGTTTTCCGATAAAATCGCTGTCACTGGTTCCTATCGTACGCTTCCAGGATGAAACCTCACGCTTGCAACATGAAGAGAAATGGAGAAATAAAAAATAGTCGATTTTCATCATTTTTAACAGTCGAATAAAAGTTGTCGTGAGTTTGCTGGAGTACCTCCAGCCTCATCTGTCCTAATTCTCATTATTACTGCCTCCCAAAAGGCGACAGGATGACTCACTAATCAAGACAAATCGAACAACTGAAAACTTTGGCTTCACCCGAAATGTGAGAAAGATGAGGCGTAATTTAATGTGTAGCTGCACTCATTCATTATCCTCTGGAGTGGAATAAAGGCTTGCCCATTGGCCAACAATTTTCAGCATTCAACCCACGGAAACTCAACACCACGACACCAGTCTCATTCCAAGGTGGACCTCACTAACGAAATTTCTTCGACAATTGGATTAGCCCTGTGTGCAGAGACAGTTCTCTTACCTCTGGGCCATTTCGGTTGAAGTACAACTAGGGGTTGAGGGGGTTCGGTGACCCCAATTCCTACGGCTTATTCCTTCCACCAGGGTGGCTTATTTTCTCCATGGGGGTATGAGATACGAGAACAAGGAGTTGGAAAAATACTGAAAGATGAAGGCTCCCTTTTTTTCTTCTTCTTCTATCTCCACAAATTGGGGATACGAAATTGTCTTGGAGAAAAGACAAATAAGGATATTCAAAGAGAATGCCGACGACTCGGGAAAAATGGAGAAAAATTTATTGAACAATATGAGAAATGCTGGACGCTTGATGGAGCGTTTTATCTCGATGGGAGTCATTGAATTGGCGCCCTTAAGATTCTCAGTCACCTTGCGACAGGACAACATGCGATTGCCATGACAAATGAAAAAAAGGGAGATAAGGACATCCAAACAAGGAATTCTCGAAGGAAAATACGAGTTACGTGAACGGATTACGAGCCCAACAGGAGATTGGGTGCTCTCCACATTTCCCTCACCGGAGGGCTGGAGGCTAGGATCGATGTCTAGGTCTCTGAATGTACGCACAATCAACTGCCACATACTCGTATTTCCCATGGCACGTGTTTTACCTTTTTTTTTTCTCAGTAAGACAATCTACTTGTTTTTCCTCGTTATTCTCGCGTCATTTTCCCTTCCTGAAGAGAGAACGGGGAAAGTGGAGATTTTCCATGAATTTTTTCCACGAGTGGGCGACGTTTTTGGCTATTATACCTATTGATGGAAAAATGTGGAGCCACTCGGGTTTTCAATGACAGGGAAAAGTTTTAAGGACGAAAATAGCCTGAGTACCCTGAATTATCCGCATAAGTACTCGAATTACCTGACAAGTGCTCTCATAAATTTAAACTTTCCATCCCTTCACCCACTTGTTCGTGTATTCCAATGTCTTCCACACGATTTTTAGGGTAGATTGTACGATAAAATGAGCAAAATTACGTTTAATAATCTTCGTTTCTACTGCAACCAGGGTAATTAAACGTAAATTCAGTGGTGAAGTGGTGAAACGTGGCAGAACAACTGGATTTTCCCATCTCATTAAACATGAAATAATCTCGATGAAGAGGTATTCCAGAGAGAGATATCACCGAGAACTTCCATTGGGTTGTAAAAGTAACCATTAAAAATTCCAAAGTTCGATGAATGATTCACAAGTTAAGGGCAGTGTTTTATTTTTTTTCCCACGAAATATTTCATGTGAAAATACTTCGAGACACTGAACTACTTGTGCATTTTACGATACAACGGTAAATTCCAGTCGATCGGTCGTAATATCGACGGTGAAGTGTTCACAACGCAGAATCGATATTGAAAACAGGGAAAAGTTGAAGCACTTGGTTTTGTTGTTGTAACCCTCTCTATTTCCCTCGCCATCGATATTACGTCTGTGAAATTTGCCAACCAAGGCGCCGCCTTTCTACATCCAAGTCGAATCACCCGGAAACGGAAAAGTACTTCAACCTCCGCCTCCACTCGTCATTGACAAACATCGTCGATGTGAAATTGCGTAGGAAGGTGCATACAGTTGCCAGGTGAGACCCACCTACATTTCCCTATCTTTCCTGCGCGTATTTACCCATCAAAACTGTCACCCAAACATAAAAATTACAGTGCACCCAGATATTTGCCAATCACCCTAAGTGTATCGCGCGAATTTCCCTATTTCTGTCTCCCCATCTCCGAAAAAACATTTAACCAAGGTAATTCCCTGAAAAGGTTTCAGAGTTATGCGCTATAAACTTTTTCCACTTTTAAACAATCCCCCAATTCCCCAGGTATTTTCTGAAAATTTCAACAATTTTATGTCTTTATTCATTATGCATGGAAAGTTCTCTCCCAAGTGGAAGTTCATTCTTAATCACACGGGGTAGTCAGCTGAACTACCATAAATACTTTATGATATTCGGCATCTTCATTTAGCTACCCTGTCTTCCTGATGTGCCTGAGAGAATGAAATGAGTAATGCCAAGATGTTTTATTAGTATGCAGACGATGTGTGAGATAAAGGCGATGGAGAATGACACCGGAAGTGAATAGCCCAGGTCAAGCCTGACGATTAACCCTCAAACAATATTATCCACTGGCTCTGTCTCGAGGTACCCCCTTGAATCAACAATCAACAACATAAAAAGACGTCTTTGCGTGCCACACGAATGCAGCTGTTTTTTTTTCTTCTTATCCCCTGTATATTCCCTCCTTTCAGTTTTCATCCGCCCTTTTGGAGTTGGCAGGGTGCACCATGCAACACTACTCAATTACTCATAACGATAAAACGAAAAAAAAAAAACCAGCAGGTATGAGAAAATTGATTCAGCTTTGATTCGCAGGGCACATGTTGGGGGAATTTTAGACTGGATTTTTAATCGACTTTTCGTGTTTTATTACTTTGATGTTGTCGGTTGCTGGGGATTACGTGCATCGCGGTCTTGAGGGAAACCCCAGTGGCAGGTCAACAGACCAATGGGGATGGAGTGAAGTATTCGCGGTGGATAATTGGATTTTGTGGATTGACATTATTTGCAACTCCAGCGTGGGGTGGAGAATTCACGGTTGAAAGTTGCACGGTTATTCGCTGTGACATTTTCGGTAACTAGTTGTGAATGGGTGGAAGTCACGAGTGGGCGAGATATCGGCATATAGATAACCTTCGAATCACTCATCAATTTTCCATAAATCTGATTGCAAAGTTTGTTTTGTGAATACCTGATGTGGAAGCGGATTGGGAGGAATTCCAATAATACTAGCGTATATGGCGCGCCACGCAGGCCTATCTACACTTATGGATGTTATCTTTTGATATAAAACGAAACCGAATGCGCGCTCCGCCCCCACCATTCGATTCCGTTGTAAATATTTTTTTTATATTACATAATTTTCAAAAATTAAATAAAAAAAATACCTATATTTTAATACTGATAAAAAAACACCCACAATTTTTGAAATCCCCTCATTGTTTCCAGCATATTCCAATCGCGTAATAATCCCCGGGCCAAACTAGACGCTGGCCCGTCGGCAATTAAAAGGCGCTCGATCCTTGCAATTTACGTTTCACGGAAACCAACGACGAGAGGGCCTCGTATAAAAACAGAGAAAGAAAAAAGAAGGGAATTAAAAAAAAAGGGGAAAAAAAAGAGTGTCACAGAAATACGAGGTCGCTCCACTTTCCCAGCAGCCCTCTGTTTCTCTATATTTAAATTCACGTCTCATTTTTTCTCGCCTCTCCTTTTTTTTTTAATTCCCTCCATAAAGTTTACACTGCCACGGCGTTTAAACTCATCTACACGGGAAATTTACGTGAACTGGTTGAGAATAGTTGGAACTATTAATCGCGAGAAGATTGGTAGCTAGTGCTGTACCCTCCCACTCTCGGATCCACCCTATCCTCGCCTTATCTACCAGTCAATTACGATAATTGTAACTGGTCAATATATCAATGGACAGTGGCCTCGTCGAATAACGGTGGAATTGCGATTCGCATTGATCCATTATTTTTAAAAAGATAATCTTTCTTTTCTCTTATCATTCAGATGCATAAGAGTACGAGGGAAAAAATAATTTTGATGCATGAAACTAAAATCGTACGAAAAATCCATCAAATATCCAATCGTTTCCCCGGGAGAATTCTCTCTCCCCAATGGCAAAATCTAAAAATGTTGAGATGTTGTTTGGAACACTGGCAATGGAAAATCATCCCAGTGGCATCAATTCCCCCACCACATCCGGGGATAATCGCAATTAAATCGTTGAATTTATAACATCGTGAGTGTTTGATTAATTGGAATGAGTATCTAGGTCAGAGGTGGCAACAAAAAGTATTCCATTCGGAAATTGAGGATGAATTTCGCATGAGAGGAGATAAAGGCGTTGTCCCTGCGATAGACCCAGTGCGAGAACATCAATGACTCCCCCCCCCTTTTTGTTACTATGATAGACCCATAATTTTGCCATTCCCAACTCGATTGACCTCGTACGAATAATTTTTTTTAATTTTAACCTTCAGAAAGAATAACAACGATTAAAGCTGTGGAAGGTGCACCGGTGGTTCTCGGTGGAAAAGCACTATTTTATCATCCACTTGTTTCCGAGACACTCGTCACAAGAACTGCCACTTTACTATTTACTATGTGTAATACACTTTTAAAAGCTCAACACTCGAGCTCAAGATACGCAGGAAACGTCTCCTCAATCTCAAGACATGAAAGACAAAATGCAAAATCCCGAATATCCCGGAAATTTTTCCCACGAACGATGAAAATAGATTGAATTCTTTTCATCCTCTCAATCCCTTCATTCTTTCCCCAAAAAATAAAACCTGAAGAATCCAATGAGAAGTCATGACTTCTGGACCGGAGTGCATCATTCTTAAACTCGAAACGAATCATTTCATCACTCATCCCTAATTGACGAGTTATCACCTTAATGAGCTGTGATAATGAAAACTGTCAAAGGCATGTTTTCCCACAGAATGTGGTACATCAATCGAACAACCAAAACAATCCGTTAATTCCTGTTTTCGCCATTGAATGAGCCTGAAGGTAGCACACGCAAGTAAAATACCCTCGGAATAACGAACGGGTCGATACGCCCGTAATTCGCTTGGTAAAGGTGCAAAATCCGTTTAAAAAGGAAAATTAATTGTTTGTTTAATTCCACGACTCACCTTTCCGCACTCAGCTGCCGGTGAATTTTCAACAATATCGTAGATGACGTGAGGTAACCCGGCAGTACCAAGCAGGGAGAATCCGAATCCCGCTGTGTCGTTTCTGCTAAGCGTGACCAGCAGCTCCTCAGCCATGTTTTCACCTCCCTCACACCACAGACATCGATCCCCGTGGGTTTAATAACTCAAGGGGAGAATCCCGTGACAAAGAAAAACCCCAGCGAATCTCAAGTTTTCCAAAAAAAAACCGTTGAATTATTATTCAACTCGATCGATTTTTTAACACTCGCCAGTCACTCACTGGTTTCCCGCGTTTGTTGACACACGATGATCACTTGACAATTGTTTATACGATTGCACTCCCCGTTTATTATTGCTCCCCTTGGAGGGAGATATTGAAATGCAAAACTGAGGAATATCCAAGACTGCAACTCCTGCGCCCTCAACTCTCTCACTCACTCTCAACTTGGATTCACTGTCCTTGTCACTCCGCTCAGACGCCGGATACCCTTCTGCTTCACTTTTTTTCAACGTTTTTTTTTCTTTTTATTTTTACGTTTACCCCCCTTTTTCCTTGGCACTACACCTCTGAGATTCACAGCACCACCGGGGAGTGGAACAGGCTGTTGTTTTGGAGCTTGTCGTTATTATTTTGGGGGAGGATTGGGGAGTGTTTGGATCACCCTGCTGACACCTCCGCTGGTGCTCCGTGACAACGACCACCGTGTTCAGGCGATATGTGCACGATTCGTTGGCATCACACACGGGGAATAGGTGAATAATGGAACAACACACACACCCTATCGTACCGGCGTGTGCACCGCAACTGGTACTGGTTATGGGGGTGGCGCCACCTCCAGGGGCCACAGCTGGCATTCACTGGACGTGTCAAATTCACTTGACTTTTCCATTTCCCATTTTTACCATACTTATATTTTATTGACAACACAGTAATAATAATAATAATTACCCCTTCATTTTTTTATCAACGTTTCACTCATTTTAATTCACGTCGATTGATTTTTTCGGTTAACTCTTTGAGCCTGCGTCCCTGATTTTTTTTACTTTTGCTGTAATTAAATTTCCACATATTTGCACATTTATTTTTCTTTTATTCATTGTTTAAATTATTGTAGATTGACAATTTGGATAGCGCCGAGTTTGTCTTGATCATAGCAGTAGTTTACAGTGGAAAAACATGGAGCCCATCTCGCACCTCGTCAAAGTATCTCTCCCAAATTATTTGGCTGGATTACCAATACCAGACTCGATAGGAGGATGGTTCAAGCTTGGAGGTCAGTTGGATTGAAGTTTATTACTTTTAGAATATATTTGAACTGTTTTTGTCTCCTGACATCCTCAAATATCCCAAACAATTGTAATTGGAACACTGGTTGCTCAACAATGGGAAAAAAAATTTTAGACTAACTCAGGAATTTTTATTCATAGTGCGAGATTGGATCTCCCTCATCCCTCCGACTGCTATGGTCGCAGGAATTGGGTATATGGCCTATCAAACCTGGTGCCCTCAGGCAAAAGCTACAATGGTGAGTGACACCTGTTCGTCAGCCCAATGCAAACATGAATCGCATGTTTTTTAAAAATTTCATTTATCATTGTGAGGCGTTATGTAATCCTTATTTATGGTTTTGTTTCTAGGCTATAAGAGCGAAAGTCAATCACAAAATTAAAAAGGACGTTGCCAAGGTTGTTGATATGGTCGATGTTGAAGATATAACGGAGAAGACGGTCTTCTGTCGCTGTTGGAGGAGTGAAAATGTGAACTCACTAAATTTATCTCATAATATATTTCATTGACATTCGGTGGAAAAATATTTATGTACTCCTTAAACTTTCTTATTTTATTTTGTCATCGTAATAACGTAAATGACATTTTTATTGCTCCATTGCACTCATGGGAATTAAAATCATTATTTATACAGCTGCTTCCTCGTTCCTCGTGCATTGTACACGCATAAATCGGTTTATTTCATTTTTTTTGTGAAAGTAAATGCGTACAACGATAAGGTCGGCTGATATGAATTCGCGAAATATTACTCTTATTTAAGACTGAGATATTCCTAAAGATTTCTTCTGCGTTTTCGTGATAATTTCGCAATAGAAAAAATATCTATCACCTTATTACGTTTCGCCACGGAATTAATTACATAATTATTCATTTTTCTGACAAGTCCAGTTGGAAACAAATTTATGAAAGTATCGAGAGTCTTATGTAACAGAATTATACTTCCGTATATTTCAAGTTAGCCGGCTTAAGTGCCAGTAATACCCCAGTATTACCAGCAAGATATTTATACCAATTTTCATTTTACAGTGGCCTTACTGCGACGGTGCCCATGGTCGTCACAACGAGGCCTCCTGCGACAACGTCGGTCCCCTCGTCGTCACAAAGAAGAAGTAAATGTAAGCAAATAAAGCATTTAAAACACCACAAGAGGAAATTCATTAATTAGTAAAAATCTAAATGTAACATTTGCAGCTATTATGCCTAAGGCCATTCTTTTTTTTTATCAAAGTTTATCAGCTGTTTGTACAACTTTACATGTCTCGGCGGCAATTTCCTTTTACATATTTCCTTTTCAAGCGTCAATCGCTGCATGTAAATACTCTAAATCAATTTGTTATTAACTTATGTGGTATGCAGGGTCTGAGGATTATTCATTAAACAATAAATTCAATGTTACCATTGTAAAATCATATACACATGGTTCTTTTATTATTCGGTATTTACATGGACACTATTCACTATTGGATGGACTCCGTTAGTGGAATTACTGAATCAATTTACTCAACAACGAAATCATTTATTCGTTCGGTAAATCGGCGTTTAACAATTCTCATTGTTGCAGAAAAATAAAAAAATAAAAACCTAGTCTTGATTTTCTCCAACACGTCTCATCTCTTACAGGAAAAATAATGATATCAAAACCCTGTGTCCATCTTATCACAGATCAACTTCAGGACGTTTATTTACAGTCAGGAATTAAATTAGAGATAATACTTCACAACTCAAAGTTATTGGTGTCATTTGTATCGAAATCATTGACGAGAAGCTCTCGATTTCCGTATCGGTACCTGCAGTATTAATGAGAGATTATTAGATTTAGAAAATTAATTGAAAGATAATTGGGCTTTATTAAAAGGGGCTCACTCTAGGTATCGCTTCCTGAGGGTCAATCCAACGTATGCAAAGACAGCCAGTGCGGCGAAGGATATGGCAATCAGTAGGGCTACCACTCCTCCAGGGAGTCCGGCTTTTTCTATCTTTATTTCTGTTTTTATCTCCTGGCTCTTCTCCACGAGTTCCTCTCGACTTTCCATCATTTCTCGAGGGGATTCACTCGTAGACGATGACAAGTTTATCGAAGGCACTACCTTGACTGGGTTAAAGCGAGATAAAAATCATAATTCGAAATCCTGCATACTGATTTTACGACAGTCGTCAAAAGACAATCTAAATCTCTCTTACTGACGACACATTTAAAGCGACACATAAAATAAATTAGTAATGAATAGGTAACAGGTAACAAATCGTCAGCGCGAGCAGTATCTCGGAATCTAACAAAGATAGCAATTTTTTTCTTAAATCCTCTTTTGCAAAGCAGAATTAAATAAAATGAAAAACGTCTCTTCGAAATTTTCGCGATCTATATTTTACCTATCATTGTTGTATTCTCGACACCACTGGTATTGTAAGTAGAGAGTAACATCTCCTTCACCGTAGGATCGGCATCATCGATGCTCTCAGTTGGAGTAGATGATAAACTCACTGGTGGACACCTCGCATCCGATTCGGTAATTCCCAAAGTTGCATCCACACCAGGACAATCTTATTCATCACCATAAAAATTTATTTCTCATTGTCAGCTAAAAGAAAAATAGAGAGAGAGAGTACTCACTTGCTGTGGCGTTTGTCTCAGGTGCAGCCGTTGTCGTAGATATCAGAGTGACAGATGACGTAGTTGTCGTTGTGGTCTCTGCAGTTTTGTTGTTCACCCCTTCAGGTTTTGTCGAATTGACCCTGGCATCAGGTACTGTTGTACTGTTCTCAGGAGTACTAACTGGGGATTTATCGACGGGTTTTACAGTGGCATCATCATTATCATTATCAGCATTATCCTTGGGTTTAACAGAGGTTTCCTCCATATCTTTGGCTTCCGAGACAGTTGCTGGTGTGGTCGTCGATCCATTCACTGCACCCTCGGTCGTATTAGTGTCCTTGACTACTACTGGCTTCGGTGGTTCGAGTAAACGTCTCTGCCTACTGTGCACCTCTTCCTTGTATTCATTTATTTTCGACTCGAGGAATACGTTCGAGTTTTCGGGGATGACCTCCTTCTTGTCCACTGGCCCTCCATTCACTGCAAAATATCAAAACTCAAGCCCAACTCAGGTCTACAGTGTTTTTTTTCCTGTTCTCTCCACTTTTTGCCTCAATTTAACGTCATAATCCTCTGAAGCGTTCCCCAGTTAATTAATTTATGAAGAGGAAAAATTCAATTATTTTTTTCCTGGCTTTAATGTGAAGACAGAAAATTCTGGTTGATATCTCAGACGTAAATAAAAATATTAAGAGCTGACACGTGCAGTGAGACAATTACCGTGTTTACATTTTTCGAGCGCGTGTATTTACCAATGAATTGTGATTGAAGGGTCATAAATAGGTCGCGTGACATCACAAATGTTTTGAAGGAGAGAAATCGACCGATATAAGGTGACAATTCGATCGGACATCTGCACATCTCCCACGTGATTTGACCCACTGACATTGTCAATTATCGTGGATTCCTTTGAGAAATTTCGATCGTAGTCGAAGCACGCTCGAATAATCTTAATTCCTCTGATTCATTGAAAAATTCAGTCGAGATGCAATAAGTTGATTTCATCAAACCGATGATTTACTCAAAATTTCCACGTTAAATTGAAATTATTCCGTCTCCAATTTGACTCATCTCACGGTATCTTAAATTATTCAATGCGCGATGACTTACCTAGACGCAGTGCCAGCAGTATCAAGGATCCTATCAGCCACCTGGAAATCATGATGGAACGATGACCAATATCTTCTCCACTTACGCAGTTGTCTCGCGAATCTCGATTATTTGCTCACTACCTCCTGGAATTGATAAGTCATCGGGTAGCACTTGAACGCACGTTCAGTCAAGCAACGGTCAATTTGATAAAATTTATTCATTAATACACCGGTTTTTTTCCAGCGATCATCACCTTACGTGCTATTGTTGCAAGAGTTTTTAACTCATCACTGCAGATTCTTTAAACCTGAAGACACTCAAGTGTCTTCGATTATGACGAAAACTCCCGGTGCACTATTGGCTTACGTCTGTTATATTTTTTTACGTTCGTACATTGAATTTCCCATTACTCTCACGCTCACAGGAAAACGCGAGTTTCAATCACAATTTATGTTCATTCCGTTATCAGTCCCGTACTCTCAAATGAAAACCCAATTATTTTATGATTACTGAACGCCACATGATCCAAATTTTCCAAATTCAAATAAAAATCGATAATGTAAAGTGATAATTCCCACAACATAATACCAGAAAAAAAAAAGTTGTACTCACCTTATTAAATCCTCCTCGATAAAATCCGCAAGGTCTCATTAATCTATCTTAACTAATCAATCTCATCTAATGACTTCTCTCGTCACAGCGATATAAACAGAAAGTTGATCTTCATATCTGAAGCGAAATGCGATAATTGAGACGGTCTTTCTCACACGCCGGACGGCAGAATACTGCGGACTATACGTCGGTGAACCCCCAAAGAAAAGGTGTACAGGATAGAAGTAAGACAGGCGCAACGAGCGCAACAGAATTGTCCGCATGCCTTCCCTCCATTCGCGAATGTTAGCAAGTTCTATCGCGATGACGTGCTCTTCCCTGGAGGGAGGGGGAGAAGAGAGGGAGATGATCTTCAAGGGGATCAGCTCGTCTCTACATGTGTCAGTGAGAATGAGAGAAGGGGGAGCAAGTGAGATATTCACTGAGGATTCACTGACATTCCTCAGGTCCTCCTCTCGGTCCAGTGAGCTCAGGGAAGTCAAACTCCCCCTGATAAATCACTATCCTTTTTTCACCATTTTTCAGTGATTCAGCCAGTCTTGCAGATTGCGTGGAGATGAGGAAGCTTGCAGGTATCGTGAGTCAGTTTACTTTATCCTGACTCTATTGTTTCGGCTTCTGAACACGCATTTTTTTTTCTCTCAGAAATACTTGGAAATTCTCGTGTGATCACTCGATGAAGATTTTCTGACGTAAAATTAACCGGATGTTGCGGAAGTAGAGGGGAAATTGATAGCTGAGTTTAGTTATCGATGTTTGCGAGGAAATGGCAATAAATACAATATCTTGCACAATAACAGAAATGTTTGTGGTAAGCTGAGGGAAAAATTCAAATGGTTCGTACGAGTAATGCGATACTCTCCCAGATTTCTCTCGCGTATTCAAAGGGTGAAAAGAAGCGGGGGAAATAAAGATTTAAATTTAATATACCATTTTCCCACGAGAAGTGGGGCTGGAGGACCCTCTGGGTCCATTACCATTGCCTTTCATAATGGCCCACCCAAGATACTGGTTATTCAGGCACAACTCAGACTCGTGAATAAAACCAGTTCAATGTTTACTTTGTAAATAATCAACTTTATGGTAAATATTTCTCTCGGTCATTTGTACATTTGCAGGAAGACGGTTCAAATATAACATATCAATAAATCTCGAGTTAGCTGGAAAAATAGATTGAAAGGCACTTGAACATTGTGCGTACTTGACTTTATCACATTGAATGGTAATATCTCGAATTAAATATCTCGTATTCAACTTTAATAGAGCCGATTAATGAACGCAAAGATCTTTTATATTTCTCAATCAAATATTAGTTTTATGAAAATCTCTATTCAGCTAATGACAGCATTCCTCATGTTATTTTCGTTTCTGCTGGGATAAATCAAATAATTTTCAACACAATGTCGATCTTTACGTTCCTCGATTTCCGTACAATAAACTCAAAAATCTTATTCATCCAAAAGAAATGGTAATATACTGTACAAAAGCACGATTACTCAACGATTTAAACGAACTTTGTTAAATAAAAAGGGGAAAAAAAATGATTATCTTGTCTGCATTATGGCCATCCATATCCTCAGCTCCACACCTCCCCTGAGGTTCAATTTCCTCAAATCATCTCGCGACATGTGGAACAATACATCCTCGAGCGAGTACTCCTCATAAATAAACTGGAACATACATAGTTTGTCGTGAGAAAAGAGAATTCAATTAGTGAATGGAGTAGTTTCATTGTTCACCGGGAATAATTACCCTGTCAATCGAAGCGTCGTCTACACCCAGACCTTGGAGCCACTCTGTCAGTCTGCGGTCTGTATTTGATGCGTTGTTGTGGTCTGTCACGCTAATTTGAGGTACCAAAGGTGGCTGTGGCGACGGGGCTGTCCCGCATATACTCGAATTATACCTGAAAGTATTTTTCAAGCCGTTAAACACCCGTTAAATGATAATTAAATTAACGGTCTTGAATTTTTTTGTCACACATTAAGTGACTGCTGTGATTCTTACCCAGACTCTTGCCTCATAAATTTTCGATTGATGTCCTCGCACAATTGGGTCAGAGTTCCCACCTGTGCCCTTTGCTCCTCGAGGGCCTGCTGTAAGATTGAGTGAAAAGTTTTTTGGCTGTCCAGTAATTCCTGCAACAGTCTCATATTTTCCATCTTGAGGGAGCCCATTTGATCTCGATATTCTCTCCAATATTTATTGTCGATGGAGTCCACCATTTTCTGGGACTTTATTGAATTGACAGTAGATACTCCTGATGTGGAGCCCTCTTCGGGGCAATCGGCACCAGCTTGAGCACGCTCTTGCTCAATTAAACCTGCACCGAGCTCTGGCGATAGGACAGTGATAGCAGCTTGGACAGCATTTCTGACTAGATTATCCAATGCAAACATCCAATGGGGTTTAATGCTATGCATTCTCAGTACCTCGTTAACTGCTGTTTGAAATAGATAGATAGCGAGATGGAGGTGATTTATTGTGGTTGAATCGAACTCAAGATCCTCCTTGAGGGTTCTGAATGCCGCTGCAATGGCCTCCTGATTTTGATCCCATATGTAATCGCGTATTCCACGCATGAGTAGCTCCAGATGTGGCATTAGCAGGACTGTTTGCCCCACATCTTTATGAATATTTCGCAACCAAACCTCGCAAATTGTCACTTCGTCCTGACTAAGGACTCGAGTCAGGGTCATGCGGCGTTGACTGTCTTTTTTTAGCAGATAAAAGCCCTCCTGTTCTTCGCCCGATTTCGGACCCGATTGTCCTGTTATTTCTACCTCGGGGGAGAGCAGTCCTCCGGAGGAACTTCTTCGTGTCATTGAACAGCCGGCTGTGTCTGTTTCACTTATATCTATTGATGGGGTACTTCCAATTGTACTATTCAAAAGAAATTTATTTTATTTTTTTTCTATTTCTCACACTGTTACGTGAAATAGTAAATTAATCCAGTTACATAATCGTTCTACGTTAAGAGTCTTTGATTATGCAATTAATAAAATGGATTCATAATGATTGTTATCTCAATTATAAAGAAGCAACGATGCTGCAGCCTAATTAATTGCGGGACAATAAAACGACTTCAAATGGTCATTCAAAAAAACACATTAAACAATTCGCAGTTGTCTGTGGATAATTAGCAGTGTCGAGCTTGGACAATAATAAAATTAGTACTGTACCTGTTGAAAGATAAGCAGGCAGTTGGCATACTGATTGGTGACAGCAGATGGGCTGGGCTACGGTCTCTCAGTGGACTTGATTTCGTCAACGCTCCGCTACACACCACACCTTTAGTGTTTTTAATTGCTCTATTTTGTTTTGTATTCGTAAAACTAGCGTATGTACTAAGCATCATGTTAATAATTTAATTATTCGCATTTTTTTATCAATCAGCCGTTAATGGTTATACCAAAACCTTCAAAAAAAAGTCAAAAGTGGAAGAATAAAAAATACTGTGACTTTTTAGGGAGGAAAGTGATTAATTCGCTTTTCACCGATAGAATAACGAAGTGTTTGGGATTGTTATTAGTATGCAACGGTACAACCAACTTTCTCCGGAGGCATATAATTTGGCGTTGAAATAAAAAAAAATACATCCAATTAATCCAAGTAATTAATGCAATAAAAATACATTGACAACGTAGTACGAAACGTAATAGGATAATCGGAGGAATTGAATTACCTGTCATCGGATTGTGACGTCTGAATTCCAGGTGTTGAGACAATGTGATTATTATTCGTTTTGTCACATTTTCCGAGACGCTCGATTCGATCGCTTGGCACTGAAATACTGCGACTGAAGTCGGGTGGAGCTGCCAGGCGAGAGCTCTTTTTCTTTCTAGAATGTTTGTCATTGCCTTCTTATACTTTTCCTTCATTTGTAGTTAAAGTGGCGAGACTTGAAGTCTTGAGTATTGAATATTGACTGGAACTCACTCTGTTAAAAATGGATCCTCCAGGAGAACTGAAGCAGCCGCTCTCACGTCTGGATTCGGCTCGAAACACCGCAATATAAAACTCTTAGCACGTTCTGATAATTCCGAGGGAATTTCTGGATGGATTTTGTAATATCCGACCTTTTAAACGATTTTTAATCATTAAAATCCTCGAGTTATCATAGTCATAATTACAGCAATTAAACAGTCATTTCTCGTTAATAAATGTGATTTACTTTGAATACTGCAGCCTGGGGGGAGCCAAGTTCAATGAACGGTGGTTTACCCGTTGCCATTTCCACGATTGTGCAACCCAACGACCAAATATCCGCCTGCAATACCCATGTTAATGACAAAATAATTAATCCTCTTATCGCAGGGTTTAAATAACTTGAGATAAGCTGTACGGACCGCTGCACCGTAGCCTCGTTGCCCCTTGTCGATGACCTCTGGTGCCATGTACTGCAGTGTACCAGTGAAAGTCTCTGTACTGGGGCACAATCCAGCCAATCTCTTGGACATACCGAAGTCTGATATTTTGACAACTCCACTATATGTATTCACTAACACATTGTCACCTGTAAATCACTTGTAAATGTTAATCTGACATCTGAAAAAAAAATGGAAAATTACCTTTGATATCGCGATGAACAATTTTCTGATCGTGCAGATACTTCAGCCCCTCGAGAATTTGTTTGGTATAATAAGAAATAGTGGACTCATTTTCTTTGAGTGGACCCCATTTGGATCTCAGCAACGCGGAGAGACTGCCCCCAGGCACTTGTTCCATAAAAATTTTGAAAAAGCCATCCTCACTGACCGATCCCAAATACTGCACGATATTTCTGTGCCTCAGCTGGCTGTGCAATTTGATTTCTTCGTGCAGAGGCTGAACGTCCCCCAGGTTTCTCTCCCTGATCTCCTTCACCGCAATTCTTACCTGAGTGTGCAGATCTCTCGCTGCAAATACCACCCCATAAGTGCCTTTGCCCAAGATTATTCTCTTGCTCTGATCATCGAGTTCGTACTCATACTTTATCTGGTCGTCAGTCATGTACGCGTCCAAATCCGTAACCATGCCTTCTTCGTCGGCCGTCATCTCCAGAACGAGATCGTAAAATCTCTGTCTGCAGTGGTCCGAGGGGAAGAACATCTGGAAATCGTCGGAATTCTGGTGAACGTAGAGGAACAAGCACCTCTCATCCCTCTTGTAGAGACTGACACTTCTGATCATATTAGCAGTGAACAGCCAGTCGTGAACTTGCTTGCAATTATTTTTCATGCTGTCCAGACACAAGTTCCATATCTGAATGGATTTTTCCTCTGCCCCAAGGTTAACATTAACATAACTTGGCATCAGGATCTTCGTGGGTTCGAGGATCAACAGAGGAAACCTGATATTATCTCCCACCTCCGATTTAGTAGCCTCAACAAAATAATCCATCCAGAAGCTGAAGACCTGCTCCTCTGGAGAGGCCTCAGCCTCCTCGTTCTTTTTCCTGAATCTATCTATGAGAGAAATATTCCCGATGGTCGATTTCAGGTACCAATTCGGTGGCTTCAATTTGAACATACACTCGGCTGCCTGGATGGCCTTGGAATAGTCCTCTGCGAGGACAGAAATTTCGAAGAACGTGGCCACATCCCAGTACTCCTTGAGACTTGACAAGCTTCCCTTTTTCCCTATTAAATTATTCAGAACCATGCCGATGTGCTGCAACTCCTCGCTCTTCGAGAATTCATTTCCAGCTATCACCAGAAGTGTCGCCAGGTTCACTCCAGCATATTCATTCGGCTGAACCTCGAAGCCCTTCCTGTACCAGTGAATGGCATTCTTCAAGGTCTCTTGATCAGTGTGTCGACTCTCAACGAATTGATCCTTGTAAATTCTTCCACAGAGGCAGAGCATGTCAGGCACATGGTTTTCCTTTTTGGCAAGGGCTTTCTCGATTACCCTCACTGCTTTCTCTCGATCCCCCTCTCTATTTCTCCTGGTCAGGGCGAATCCATAGAGATAGATAATCATTGGAGTATTGATGTAGCTTTTGTGATTAGGAATCGTCCTGAGATCGTCGACAAGTTGCACCATGGCGTCGTACCCCTGAATATCCCGGAAGGATATGAGCATATTGAGAATCACCTCACCTGAGAGGACGTTGGGGTCGTCTAGGCGTTTTCTCATGTTGTTGAGAATTTTTGCCAGCTCGTCGCCTGAATATATTTCCCGAGCCTTTCGCAGGTCTCCCAGAAATTTTTCTTTCATGTGCGCCTTAGATTGCACCTCCACGTCCTGCAGGAGTTTCTTCAATTTCAAGGTGAGATGCTGCTTAGGGTCGATCGATTCCTCTCCTCCTCTGGCTGCTAGAGTCGTCGTGACACACGTTCCACATTCTAGAACCCTGTACGATACAAACGTGTAACTACCACAGGACAATTTCAGCCTGATCGTTGCTTCGCTGTCCACGTCATTGTACAGGAGAATATTCTCCTTCATTCCGAAGGACTCGCGCACCCCGAGATGATAAAATAACGCCGACTGCTGGAGCTGGAGTGAGAGATCCACAACAGCCACATCTGCGTTGTAAAATGTATCCAGAACATTTGTCTCACCAAAGTCTAGTTTCTCAAATTGTACATGATTTAAATTGGCGTTCACCAGGGTGCAAGCTTGTTTTATCTCGTCGAGTGCTCGTTTTCGCTGCACTAGCTGCTCGGACTGCTGAAGATCCAAAATGCAGACCACCTGGATGCGAGGACGCCCGGAGATGGTTGTGTTGCATGACAAATCGCTATGGGTTCCCACACTGTCAGTCGTTGAAGCTGCGTCGATGACGTTTGTGTGCACACCAAGTGCAGACACTTCCTGGATATCTCCACACGTAGACGGCATCTCGCTGTCAAAAAACTCTCCAAACTCTCCAGTATTCGTGAAATCCAACAGCAAATTCTATGGAATTGTACATAATACCGACTCAAGGACAAATCACCTGAGGAAAAGATAAGATACAGATTCCTTGTCTTATCACTAGTGGAATTGTGCATAATTACGACCGCAGTCTGGAGAGTTGTGAACAGATTCCAGCAGCGTGGGAAGAGAAAACTGATTGAGAAATCGACGAATCGATTGATTCACAAGGATCATTCTAATACTACTTACGTAAACAGAAATGTCATGAAACAACTATTCCTCGAAGATCTTTAAGTGTCAAGAAGCGATAAACATATCGATTGCTCCTCGTTATCTATCTTTGTCTGCTGGTGCTTTTGCCCGATCTAAAATAAAGTAAATTCCACTAGTTTTCAAATTAGAATAGTTTACTGACTTGACACTGACTACTGTGTTACATTCTTGAACACTCGAGCCTCGCTCGTTCCACGAAATATTCACTGGACATCTCTCTAATCACCTCTGTTTCTCTAATCTATTACAATCTATTATAACGAGTCTCACTTCGATATTGCGAGTGCACAATTTATCAAACGCCAACGCAGGGAAAAGCTTCTTCGAGGTTCGAGAAGAAATAATTGCTCTGGTAATGAGCGTATGATTTTTCTCTCGCAAGAGAGCGCAGAATATTGTCAGTTATGTGTGGATCGTATGGATTTACGAACACCCACTAACTTGGCTAAGCCAGCCATTTCCCTGGCACCGACTGTACCGACAAAACCACATCATTTTATTTCTTGGATTTCTTAAAAAAATTATCTGCAGAAAAGTCAAGAGTTTATCCGAAAAAATGGCTTTTGAAAAAGTGCATTTCACCTGAGATTTAAAAAATTGAAAACATTGATAAAATTTAATATTTTATTTCGATTTAATTCGGGCTGTTTTACCTAGACGTACGATATTTGAAAATTACGCGCCCTATGTTATCCATCCGCTTGGCATGTGATTTAGTTCCCGCGCCACCGCAACAACATTTTCACGCGTACGTCTGACGACAGGCCCTGACAATCTTCCTCATAATCTCTGGACCGGGTCCTCGTATTGTGCTTGGCAAAAAAAACAAACCCCCCACTATCAAAAAGAGAGAAACATTGAAATGTCGGGGATAATAAGTGGCGAGAGGTGTGGAGAGTTTATTAAAATTTCGGGGTGAATCGAAAAAGACGGAAGCTGCCAGTGACCGTGCCATCCGGTAAGAATTTCCGCTGCAAGGAGACCTCTGTCTCTCATCCTCAAGGTTGTCACTTCATTCGTTTTTTCCTCTCCCCCTCTGTTTCATTATTTTTTTTTTTCTCCTCGCTGTTAACTTGCCACGACCGACGGTTGAACGGCCTTGACTTTAGTACAAATAAAACGTCTGGCAAATGGTTTTACTGTCTCCGTATTAAATCGAGCAAAATGAGCTAATCCAATACGAATTTTAGTGCGGCCCAGGCGACACACACCGGGACTAAACTAACCTCTCCTCGTATCCCCTAAAAATTACCCACAATTTCTCATTTTTCTCCGTTCAAAAATCACAAACAACAAATAACCTTAAAAATCCAGCATCTTTCATTAACATTGAAGATTCAATTTCCAGGTAATGTCACTCCTCAACTAATTACTATTGATTTAATTGCAACCCTTGATAGAGGCCTTCAAACAGAACAAATGCATCTTCCTTTTGTGTTTTTTTATTTATCTTCGTCTTTTCTTCTTCACAATAGAGTGGAGTATTACCTACAAATGGGCGAACAATTCGACAAAACAAAGAAATGCAAACAAGCTTTCAACAGCTGTGGCGGTTTATTTAATCACCAACCATTCGTTTTCTCAATCAGTAATTGAATTGTTGTTCGAAGATAATAACGGCTCGCGGATATTTTTACAACAAATGAAATTGTTGTATTGTATGGTCGATGAGTCTGTCACATTAGCAAACAGTAATAATAGCAACATAAAGTTTATGATATTCGTTAGATTTTCTCGAATGCCCTTCCGTGTTATTTATTACACTTTAATAACCCGGTAACATGTATTGGTTTCAACGACACACGTGGCTCTCCGAGGAACTTGCCTCCATATAATTTTTTCATATTCTTTTGCCCTTTTCATTTCACCCATTTATTTCACTCCTCTCGGAGGGCTCATTAGGGTTTCAAAAAGAAATAAAGTTACGTCGCACGTGTACGGTATCTTGAGAACACGACAACGCCTTCGACAGTTAAATAAGGACGTTACGGAAATAGACTCAACGTCATTATTAATCTCGCATTGACATTTGTGTTTGAATTGTTTTTTTTTTCCTTGTTGCAGGTTTCCTTCTGCGTCATCGGTTCTACACCAAAATCTGGCGTCTATGTTCCGGTGAGTCAGAGCAATATTTTCAGTATTAATTCCGCAATCAGATGGAAAATTATGTTTTTCTGTTTGAAATTCCATTGATTGAAGTGAGGAATTAATGTGTGGAATGAAGGCGAAGAATTTTAATGCTGGTCGCTTCTCCATCCATTTATCTCTCAGTTAATATTACTGGTTTAAGTTTACGGGATTCTTCGAGTCGTTTGAGGGGAACGAAACATGTACATATTGATTTCCATTTTGAAAAACGTAACACGGAAGTATAACGAGTACAAAGGCATCAATCGGTGGTTGTTATGCATAATGCAGAGCGTCCTTCTTCCTCGGAGTTGACCGAGGGAGGTGAGCTAACCGTGTATCGTTTGTCTCTGTGGGCTTTACATAATAAACTAGCTCGTGAGCTACATTTTTTTCTCTTTTCCACTTTAATGACTTTTTCAAAAGATACAGTTGCCAGAGACCTCGACATTTAACCTCAGAACCATGTAGTTTCGAACAATTGCTATTTGCATAATTGAATTTATCAGCAGAGATAATCTTCATTTTTCATATTTTCAAAAGATGTCAGTTTTCATAAAACATGCGGTTTCAAATCAAATTAACGCACATTTTTTATTCAAATTTCATTATATCGAGGTGCGGGAAAACTTGCACACAATTCGCGGTGTGAATTATTAATGAATTTCAATCGTTAAAAATCCATTATTGATAATGAAGAGACTGCAAAAAAATGTATTTCATTAGCAAAATTACGATAGATGATCCTTTGTTGTGAGGAGGAATGTTGTAAAAAAAAAGGCAATAATTTTCCCTCACATGGTGCACTTCGCGTACGAATAAATGAATCTCGGAGTACTTCCATCGTTCTCATCAAGAGAGCAGAGTGACGTGAGATAATCATTTTAGCTCCGTCTATGAATTTTTTAAATGACGAAATGGGTAGTCGAGATGTTGAGCAGGCAGCATCTGCGTCAGTCTCTCCGAGGCCACCTTAAATTCAACAAAAACATCATAACACCAATTGTGTAACTGAACTTGAACGTAATTATCCGTGCGTCTGGAATCTTTTATACTTAGAGAGTAATCGATCGTGACAACCCGTAGGTTTCCCTCTAGAAAATGTAGAAATATTCATCGATTTATTGATTTTTACGTGGCATTGAAACCAAAATACATTTATTTTATCGCTCGAATGTCAATATTTTCTTTAAAAACTCGACATTCAGCGGTTTCTTTCACTCTTTCAAGAGCATATATTCTCTCAATTTTTTCATTAAGTTGGGATAATAATGAGAAATGCTTGTGTCATTTAAATTATTATTATTAATTTTCTCTTCACGAACTCTACTTTATCAACCTCAGTCGGTGAATAACTCTCAGCTAATTGCATCGGTCGAAAGAATGTTTTGTACACGTTTTTTATCTCAAGAAATCATACATCTTTGCTATCGGGCATCAGTAGGCCTTTCTGATTAATTGATCCGCTGGATAGATGGATGGGTTCATTAATAACCAATGAGTTATCGCCATCCCCGGGTAAACATTTAATTCGAGTCGATTGATTTTTGAAGATATTATTATAGGCATAAGTCAACTGTTGTTGGACAAGTGAAAGTCGTGAGCGAATCGCTTTGAGAGCTTGGCGAATCGAGACTCAGTAACTGTGGGCGAGTAAAGTAGGGGAGAGATCTCGTTTTCTCTCAGGGAATCAGAGATAATGTTCCATGGACTGAGATAATGATGAACTGGGGAGGCAAGTGCCAGAATGGGAGAAATCTTGAAAATCCTTTCACGTTCCCTTTTTCTTTTGCGCTCTTTCCAATATATTTCATAAGCACTGAAAATCCAAATAACATTTACCGAAAAAGCTACTACTATTCCACTAATTCCATATGGATCAAGGTATAAAAAATATCTTCTCTTTTTTGTAGTCCACGAAATTCAAAAATTTCTCCACAACATTTCCCTTTGAAAATATCGAGGAAATAATGAGTGTGAAATTTTCTGACTCATCTCCTTTCACCAACCAATTGATACCAATGGAAACCACTTCTCAAGTCTAATTTTTTGGATTTCTCTGACTATCGAAATTGTCGTTAATTTGGTGGATTTATTGAGGATGTTAGGAATGTGAGAGGACGTGTTGCCTAACGGTGAGAATTTGCGAGTGAAATCGGTATGACAGCTGTGAAATTCGCCTGACGTTAAGGGATTTCTTCCTCCTCAAGCATTTCGCCTCTGAAAAGTGAGATCTGAAATTTAAGCGTTAGGAAATATGGAAAAGAGAATAAAAAATAGTGAGAGAAGTTGGTCCGATCGAGGTCCCCCGGATGTATTCGGTCACGGAGAAGCATATTGTATATCTGGGTCCTTTAAAATGTGTTACAAGAACGTTTGCCCCGGTCGCTTGGGCGACGCGCGGGCGCACCACTCAGCGACTCGAAAGTAACACAAGGATTCGAGAGAGCGGATAGCTCATTCATTCCAGTTTGCTTCAACACCATACATCATGTATTCCCAGTGAATCATTACACCGTCAATTGACACATTGTCTATCTCGAACCGTTTGATATGAATATCTCAAAATGCCACCACAACTTGCAAAAGTTGTTGAGTCACATCTCAAATCTCAAAATTCAACAAAAAAAATTGTTGAAATCAAAGCACCACTCATCTTCTCAACCGGAAATTTACTCACCTGAAGAACAAATTAGGGAATCCAGGTGAAATTAGTAGCCAATCGATAAAACGGTTTGATCTAGGAATGTAAATTGGCTGATCGGAATTCATGGATTGTAAGGAGCGGTGTGGTAATGCGATTAAAGTTGCAGCGGTAGAGTTGATATAAGTTGAAAAATATATTGGCGATGGGAAGTGGGAAAAGGGATAGGGGAAAATGTGCGAGTGACGTTTGACGCGGATATGTCACGATAGAATCGATCGATCGCGTGACACCCACAAGCTGCATTGAGGCCTCAAGTTGCTTCAAGTGAGACAGACCCTGACAGCCCCATGAACCGATCATTGCTAGCTTTTTCAAATTCCCCCTCCAACCAACCACAGCTACTATCACGGTTATAAATTTTTTATTCAACCGCTAAATCAATCCGGGTCATTACCGAACAGTCAGGGACTGCTCCACCATTTTCCATGCCTTTTATTTACATTTTCATTGTCTCTCCACTGGTAAAACATATCTCCCAGGATCCATCGGCTTTTCAACGTCAATATTCGGTTGGATGAGCTGAAGAATGGTGATGCAATGAATTTCAGA